ATGAGGAGAGACTACAAAGATTAGGGTTGTTGAACTTAGAAAAGAGATGACTAAGGGGTGGGGGGATACGATAAAGGTCTATAAAATTATGGATGGTGTGAAAAAAATGACTAGATAAGTGTCATTTCCCCTTTCACACAATACAAAATTCAGGAGTCACCCAATGAAATTAATAGACAGTGGGTTTAATACAAACAAGAGAAAGTACTTTTTTACCCAATGCACAATTTATCCGGGGAACTCATTGCCATGGGAAATTGTGATGGCCGAAAGTATAACTGAGTTCTAAAGAGAACTGGATAAGTTCATGGAGGACAGGTCCATCAATGGCTATTAGCCAAGATGGTCAGGGACACAACCCTAAACCTCTGACTACCAGAAGCAGGGAGTGGAAGACAGAGGTGGCTCATTCCATAGTTGCCTTGTTCTGTACATTCCTCATAAAGCACTGTATAGGCCACTGTTGGAGACAGAATACTGGGCAAGATGGACCACGGTCTGATCCAATATGGCAGCTCTTATGATCTTATGTTCCAAGAGCCAACCCACCAATTTGTACCAGTTCCTTAACTTGTTTCATAATCTCTATTTTGGCTACTACATTTTAAACCAGTTGCCTGGGAAGGTACCTGTATTAGGACATAGAACAAATGCATCTTGCCTTTGACAAGCTTTATATTCGCTAATGCCAAAAGCCACAATTAATTTTGCAGAATATTGTGGGATAAATAAGTAAGCAAAGTGGACAGAATTGTGTGAAGGACATAACATAATTTGGTTAACATAACTGCCCATATATTGGTTATAATACAATATTAATATGGTAAGCCCTAGGCCTAACATATGTATTGGCTAACAGTTTTAAAGTTATCATTTTGACTTATGTTATATTGTATTATAATTTATAATATACAGTAGACCCTCAGAGTTATGAACACCAGAGTTACAAACTGACCAGTTAACCACACACCTCATTTGGAACCGGAAGTACACAATTGGGCAGCAGCAGACACACAGAGAAAGCAAATACAGTATAGTACTGTGTTAAACAAATTACTAAAAAACTAAACGGAAAGCAGTAACTCTGTAATGTAAAAGCCAAAACTGACATTATTCTGAACCATAATATAATGTAACATAAAAATTAAAACAAAACAACATTTTTGCCCGATCAACACAATACATTTTGATAAGGTTGTAACAAAATATTTTGGCGTAGTCTGTAACATTTCCTTGTGCGGATGAGATTTAGCTCCCACAGTTACTCTCACAGAAACAAACCACCAACCTCTGCAAAGCTACTGCCCCCAATTTATGGGTCTAGTCAAGCTATGTTCAGCCTAGGACCTAGAGGATGAAGGGGAAGGGCCAGTGGCACAAAGGTGATTATATGGCACTTTTGCACTCTCTGATTTCTGGGTTTGTCATGGTCCAGTTCAGCCCCTACCATATCTTAGAGTAACTTCAGGGCTCCTTTAACTTCTGTTGGCTGGACACAGTCCCCTATGGGGCGTTATGCTGGCAGGGATTGCGGGAACACAGCACTCTTTGTTACACATCTAGCCTGTGCATATAGAGGCCACTTTCTTTTGAGTTCATATATGAATAATAAATGTACAATATAAAATGTGCCTCTTATGTAGCATTGGTATTGGTGACAGGCATTTTTTTGTGCAAGATCGGTGAGTCCTGGCTGGATGGGAGCCTAAGCTGTTGCCACATGTGTGGGAATGGAAAGGGGGACATGTCCCACTTATTTCCTGATGCTTCTGTAGAGGCACATGGGGATGGTGGGGGTTAGAGAAGAGCTCTCCCAGCCATGAACAGGCAGGACAGCTGCCAGCTGTACAGTTATGGTAAGGGAAACAGCCTTTCTTCTCCCCAATGTCTCCAGCTCCTTCTGCTTCCACCCCTTAGCACAGCTACAAGTTGCTGCTTCTGGTGTTTTATTCTGTTCAGGCTCCCGAATGAGAGGAGAGCAGTGAAGCCAGGTAGGAAAGGCGGGTCAGGTTGTGCAGGAGACCCCCTTACAGATGGCCATAGCATACTTTAAGTTGACATAACATGTACTCAGAAAGCAAGATGTTTCCATTTTCTTTACTTGGCTCATAACAAATAAATCAGGCATAACTTTCAGCCGTACTATCTGGGTGTATTCAGGGTGTGTGTGTGTGTGTGTGTTAAAAATCCCTATCATCCTTTTCAGTGTTCTGTGATCTCATGAGGACTGGAGTGCATGGGGCCAGCATATTGATGGCTAAGTACTAATTTCCTCCTGGAATATTTATTATTTCCATAGCTAATACTGATTTCTAAAATGTATATGTATACAAACATGCCATATCAAGAGCTGGGTGAACGAAAGCAGTACTGGGCAAATGACTTGAAAATTTTGCACTATTTCTCGACAAATATTATGCAAGCAGCTCTGGTCAGATCTCATCTCTGGAGGTATTTGTGATAGTTTACTCTGGGTTATCAGATTGACTGATATAATGGGAATAAAGGACACTCAGCACTTTGCAGAGTTGGGCTTTGAGTAAACATTCAACATATTTTAGTCCATTCCAGTCCAATAAGTTTATTATTAAAGAAATAATGGGGTGGGGGGTGGTAGAGGAGAAAGCAAAGTGGCAATTTCCTTTGCGTTAGTGTTGGCAGCACATTCCATCAACTAAGAACTGCTTTTAGTTTGTTTAGTAGTTTTCAGTAGCTCATTTTGGGTGTACAATAATTCCATATCAAAAACCTTCTTAAGACCAGTGAAATCAACAGTTGCTTCTGGCTTTGATTTTGTACTCCAAGATAGTCTTTCCCCCTCACTAATTGTTGTGGCAGTGATTCAACAGGCCTTAGCTCCAAAAAGATCATTCATTCTGTAGCACTGATGTCAACAGATAATGTTCTATTTCCCAGGGCGGGCTTTCCATAAGTTATTTAACTTCATGCAACTGTGTTTATTTAAGTGGGCTGTTTCTTTCAGTACACTAGGAGAAGTAGCTTCAGGTATTTTGAGAAGTTGGCAAACTGCTCTATCTTTTGCCTTTCCCTAGATGGAGTGGACTGATCCATTGAGTTTCCTCCTCAGATACATTTAACAATTTAAAGGCCCAGTTTTCAAACTTGTGTGCCCTGAGTTCATGGCCTACGTCAGTATTTAGCTTCAAGTGCTGGTTTAGAAGCCAAAGGCCCTCAGTTCAGCAAGGCACTTCAGCACATGTATAAAGTTAAACATGGAACTAGTCCCATGGATTATGTACCTACTCATATCCGTGCTGAATTGTGCCCTTAGCCCACTGTTGCTCAGGCTCATTTAGATTTGCTGATTCATGTATTTTCCCAAATCATAGAATATCAGAGTTGGAAGGGACCTCAGGAGATCATCTCGTCCAACCCCCTGCTCAAGGCAGGCACAATCCCCATTTTTTTTTTTTTTTTTTTTGGGTCCCAGATCCCTAAATGGCCCCCTCAAGGATTGAACTCACAACCGTGGGTTTAGCTGGCCAATGCTCAAACCACTGAGCTATCCCCTCCAAAGGTTAGTACACATGGTACATTTTTAGAATGGAAAAACATCGTAGATTTGATCTTTTGGAAAATAATATTTTTGCATAATAGCTCAGTTATAGCAGATTTGTATGGTTACATACACTCTCTCCTTGGGAGTTTTATTCCTCAGACTTTTGGAAAGGATTCTTGCTGACTTTGACAGTGGTGAAAATTATAAAGTTGCATTTTAAGAAAACAGAGGGGTGATGTCCTTCTCTACTATTTCTGCATGGCTGGCTGAACTGGCAAATAGACTGAACAGAGACAGTTGCCTTGAATAGCAGTAATAAATCAAGTTGCTATATAAGGCTATGGTGGCACACGGAAAATATGTAGAAGTTAGAAATACTTTCTGTTGGTAGAGACTTTAGTTTATGGGTTGTTAGATTAAAGACTGTAAATAAAACTCAACAAATAATTCTTCTTTCATTTAAATGTCTCAAGTCCTGGAAGAGTTTTAGATTTTCAGTCGTCAGCTTTTCCATTTTTGCTAGGATTGCATGCATCTATTACTGTTATCAAAGTAGTGTCCAGCAGTCCCAATGGAGACAAGAGCCACATTGTGCCAGATCTGAAGGTTGATTTTATAGGGCAACTGTTATCATTTACTTTACACAACCAATCTCGAGGGTCCCTCACCGAGTGCTATACAGTAAAGGTGCCCTCACATAGACCTGCATGGTATATAACAAAATCCTCCACCTCAATTTTACCCAGCTGAATAAGGGCGTCTCATGGTACCAATCCCTACACTCACATTTTCAGTAAGATGGCAGAAAGGAGAGAAGAGGAGTATTGATTTCCCCCACTCTGCACTGGACCCAAGAGCAGGATTGGTGAACCAAGGGGAGCAATCTACTCCATCTTAATGCATGGAGCAGACTGTACAGGTCCTGTGCATCACATGCAGCCTAGGGAAAATTAGGCTTCAGTCCAGCCTTGCACAGCTCAGTGCAGAAGAGTAAACTGGTAGAACGAATCAGCAGAAACAACATGCAGTCAAGCAAGTTTTTGCTCTGAACAGATGTTTGTAATGTGAAAAGGTGAATAAAAACATAACAGAAAATGAAATAAAATGCCCCCAAGCTGGGGGTCCAACCATTTCCCAAGTACCCAGTGTATTGCCCTTCCCAGGGGCACTTCTGCAAGGGGAAGAGCTGAACTGATGTTAAGTCCTCCTTTACTGGGGACCCTGCACCCTGTCACACATAGTTCACTCTTGAGCACCTTTGGTGATCCTCCTTCGGTGAGTTATTTTTCCAAGGAATGACTTCAGTGTCAAAAATCTATGCTAGTGCCTTGTTTAAGTTATCTGGAAGATCTCCCTGCTGGAGCTAGCAATGAATCCTATGGGTGTCAAAGCATTCTGCAAGCTGATCCTTACACCAGATACATGAAATAGTATAAAAAAATCTCTGGATAAGACTCCAGAATTTGTTAATTTCTCACAATTAAACCAATTGTATCTGATTTTATTTTGTGACATACACACACGCCCTTTCTCCCCCACACATTATGAATTATAATTCTAGATGCTCTTTCTTTTCCTTCATTTTCTTGATTTTTTCAGGCAGAGTCTTTGTCCAGAACTCCACTCTGTTCCCTTTCAGTTTCTTTGCTTCTTTCTGCTTTAAATTCAACTCCAGGTATTTTTCATTCATGTCATACACTGGCCATTCCACCAAACCTTCGCCATTAGGATTTCTGCACACAATAGAATGAAGAGGTGATACAGTGGTGATATAGACTGGGAATGGGATAATCCATAACTTCTAGGCCTTCAATTTTAATCCAGCCCAGACTAACAAAGCCACTTTCTTCTGACAGCTGTTCATTAGCATGTGAAATAAGTTAGTGGGCTCAGGTTAGCTTCTAATACAAACACTTCCATAGCAGAGAAGTCATCACAATAATAGGCACTGTGAGGAGGTAGTGTGGTGTGGAGGATAGGGTGTAGGACTGGGACTCAGGAGACTTGGGGTACATCGACACTACTGCAGCATAGCTGCAGCAGCAAAGACATTTCCTACATTGACGGAAGGGGTTTTTCCATTGATGTAGATAATCCACCTCTCTGAGAGGCAGTAGTTATGTCAAGGGAAGAATTCTACTATCGAGCTAGAGGTGTCCACTGTGAGGATTAGGTTGACATAACTATGTCACATAGGGTACAAAATTTTCCCACAGCCCTGGAGCTAGCTAGGTAGACCTAGGGTGAGATGTAGATTAGGCCTTGGGTTCTGTTCCTAGCTCTCAAGATGGTCCCAGGTCACAATTCCGACACATTTTAGTGAGGCTCTGGGTAGCAGCTTGCACTGTCACTACCCATGCTGTACCTTTTCTGTGATTAAGCAGAGGACTGAAGTCTCTAGGGCTATCCATGAAGCTACTTTGGAAACATTACGGGGTCTGCATAACTGGGCTGTTTAATTGGCTGTACATTCAAATAGCAAAATTCTCTATTCGAAAAGAAGCCATGAATCTTACCCATTTCGAGCAAAGTTAGCCCAATATTTCATTATTGTCCTGCTGAGGTGTTTCTCTTCCTCTGTAGCATCTCTGAAAGCTGGGAATATCAAAGGAGGCTTTGTTTGAAAACAGGTAGTAGGTGTAGATTCAGAACCACCTTGCACCAACTACAGTTAACCTTTTGAACCTCGGTATTTTATAGGCTGCCAGCCAAACTACTGCTTTGAGGGGGGGGGGGGTGTTACAGAAAGGGAATGTATATGTCTATAGCCTCCAAAAAGGGGTTAAATTACCATATATTGCTGGATAAAAAGGAAGCCTGGATGTAAATCCATGTTGTCAGGTAAGGACTGGGAAAAAGTGTCACAAACAAAAACTACCCATTATTCTCCTATGCCAAATTAATCAAACAGAATAATTTGTGATGGGAGGAGCAAGAAGGAAATATATGTTTTTAATTTTACAAGTAGAATTTTGCAAGGCTGATTTAAATATGGCCAAAGTCTGCCTTCTCATACACCCACTTGTGCAACTCTGCTGATTTTAGCAGGTACCTGTCAGCCCTCAATACCAAAGGGAACAACATATGGCTAACCAAGGGGTTCTCACAATTCTGAAGGGGGGCCTCAGAATGCGGCCACGATCTCTTGCTGGTGGCTGGTCTGACAATTTTTCCTAAACTACTTAATTAACTTTAGGAAAAGTAAATAAATATGCACATATCCATGTCCAAATCATTGTAATTTGTTTATGCAGAATCTTTTCTCCCAGACTCAATTAAAATAATGTACAGTTGTCTCTATTCTTTACTGGACCTAAACAGAATAGAATCACAAATAAGGTGCCTTGTACGTTCTTGTCTTTTGCTTTTTTTTTGGTTGCTTCCCCCTCCCCCCAAGACATGCTAGTAACTAAGTCTGCAGTGAAAAGTGATATTAATAAACATACAAATATATCACTTTTCACAGCGGACTTACTCAGCCCCAGCAAGCCTTGGATGGGGAGGTGGATATGGAAGCAGCGGGGGCCAGGGACACTGAAGGTGGAGGTGTGTGACCTTGGGGCCAGAGCCTGCCACCATATGGTCGGGGAACGGACCCTGAAGCCCCGTGGCTGGAGCCTGCCACCCACCACCCAAGGGCTGAAGCCTGACCCCACCAGCCCTGGGAAGGTGGGGAACTCACTGACTGCCTGCTCCGCCAGCTTGTGTGTCTCCAGAGGTGGGCAGGGCCCAACCACTGCTGGCGGCTCTGTGGGAGGGGGCCGCTGCTTTGTCCACGCCCCCTGCAATCACCGCCCAGGAGCCTGTGGCCGCAAGAAAAGTCCCTCATGGCCGCATGTGGCCATGGTGGCTGCATCTGAGAAATACTGGGCTAACCTGCGGTTATACTGGAACAATAAACATACACTATGTTACAAAATTCCGTACCAGACAGTGACGTCTCATCAGTAAGAAATGCCCCTCCAAAGACAAAACTAACTTCATCTCCATGATCCGCTTTTACAAAATCTGGTTTGAAACTTGCTGAACTTGGACGATGTTGGAATTCGTAAAAGTAGAGTGGAGAGCCAGAGTCTAAGAGAAAACACAATTAAAATAAATAGAAAAACCACTACAAATCCACAAAGGCACCGAGCCTATTCAGTGCTGCATGGGGAATGGAAGTTATAGATTTAAAAAAAATAAAAGGACAACATATTACATTTTACAGTGAGAAGCTAAAACAATTCTAGGCATGTAACTGGAGATTGGAATCAATAGTTTCTGACTTGAGTTTCAGATGAGACATGAACTCCAAACATAAAAGGAAGGAAAACAGATTCAAAGCAGTTAATGGATCAAGCCCCAGACACATTAAAGACTTAATTTTGATCTCTGAACGACTAAGAGTTCTTCTCGTTTGGGACAATGCAGAGGACAAACCAAAGGACAAAGCACATGAGCATTGACAGCAAAGCATTTTCAATCCCCCAATCTTGCTATGGAACCAACTTCCAGAAGAAATCAGCTGAATCTAGAATCTCATCATCTTTAGGAGACGCTATAGAACCTCTTGAAAAAGCTTTTCCACCATAGCAAAAATGACACCAACAAAATCCCATTGACACAACCGTCCATCACCCTGAAAAAGAAGCTGAAACAAAACCAACCAACCAAAACAAAACACAACACATACTCCAAGAAGAGTTTTTTCCCCACAAAAGGAGAAGGACTAATGATGCCATGAAGTCCACTAGGGACTTTGCTATTGCTGTCCATTTTACTTGGAAGACAGCCAAATACTATGCTGACAAGTGGCAGTGTAAAATCCTAAAATAGCTAAATCGGTAACGAGAGTGACCTGCATACAAAGGCTTTTCGGCTGCATCCAGTACCAAAGGGGGAACAGTTTGGGCACAGTGATTGAAAAAGATTAGGGAGATATTACAGAAGAAATAATTAAAGCCTGCTTAACACAAGGAATACTTGAGTTCTGTCTTCGAGAGTTAAAGTGCTTATACAAGTGAAAGGTGGAAATATACTCACCGTAAGTATGTATATGCCTTGTCCCCAGCCCACTATTCAATCACTAAGATTAGGAAGAGTGCTGTGGCATTACGCCCCATATTCTTCATAGTAATATTATTATATGATTATGCTATAACTAGGATATATTTTATGCAAGACAGATCAAGTAAGATATTGAAAATGTTATGATTCACTGAATACGATTATCCTACTTGTATGCGTGTATTATTTTGGTATCTGAAGTTAGGAACATTGTCTATGCATCTATTACAAATGTGTTTACACCTGGGGAATGCCCACTAGACAAAATGCAATCAGTCTAGATGACTGGCTGGGAAGGGACATTAGCTTCTTCTAAGACCTGTTGTTCTCCCTAGTCTCCCACCAGGGAGCCTTCCTGAGGACACTACAAACAGCCTCCGAGTTATGGCTGCTGTGACCTTACAGGGACATGTGATCAAGTCACCTGGTTCTGGACTCCATCTTGAAATACCAGTGTTTCCCCCTGAAAAGCATAGGAACTAAGCCTAGAGACAAAAGAGTTCCCACATAGGCAAAAGCTATTTAAGGCAGGAGAGTAGCATCACTGTGGTTTTTCACTGCCTCCCCACCGAAAGAGACTCCTGAAAACACCTGAGGAAGAAGGACTGAATTGGGGGAAAGGGCTGAACCCTGGCTAGGAGGATTTCTAGCCTGTGAAAGGAATACCTGGGGTTTTAAGCTGCAAGCAAGTGCAGTTTGTCCTTTAAGAATCTCTGCAACTGGCTTAAATCATCATTTAGGGTGAGAATTTGCTACTCATATCCAATATCTTAGTATATTAAGCTTAGATTGCATTTTGTTTATTTGCTAGGTAATTTGCTTTGATCTGTTTGCTATCCCATATAATCACATAAAATCTATCTTTTGTAGTTAATAAGCTTGTTTTTGTTTTGTCTAAAACAAGTGTGTGGAAATCATAACTTCGGGCAGAAAGCTGTTGCATATGTCTCTCCACATTGAGGGAGAGGGCGAATTTTATGAGCTTATGCTGTATAGTTCTCTGTGCAGCACAAGATGGTATAAATCCAGAGGGGTGTAGGTGCCTGGGAAGCTGGTAAGTGTCCTAGCTGTATAGCCTTCCCATGCAGGGGCTGGTCAGAAGGCCTGTCTGCATGTTATTACAGCTGGGTGTGTCCCTACCTGTGTGCTGGTGAAAGTGTGAGACTGGGACATGTCAGCTTGTCACAGCAGCTTGTCACAGCATTACAGGGTGAGTGGGACCCCAAGCTGATGGGTCAGGGGGAGGGAGGGTGTCAGTGGTACTCCAGTTCCAGGCAGCACCCTGGGGGGAACCCGTCACAAAGCGCATTAAAAAGTGACCCAATAATCTTCAATAATGAATACAACTGAGAATGCTTTGCCTAACTAGAAAGAGCAGTGACCAAATTGAAATCAGATCATGGACGTATTAAGTGTGCTATCTGAAGTCAAGTGACAATTGAGTCTTGGTAGGTTTGAACTTGTGACCTTTTATTTAACAAATATTAACTAGAAACTTACCTCTGTGATAATTAGATGTTTTTATAGCTGGAACTAAAAACATTGCATCTCCCAACAAATCCAGAAACCGGTCCCGCAGAGCGACAGGGTCGTCTGTGTCTCCCAGATACTCGTCTGTTATCAGAGACACAAATTCAGCTGGCACAGGCTGGAAGGAAGGATAAGGAGAAGAAATTAACCAAAAACCATTAAAAAGAAGTGTCAGTATCTAGAATTCCAAGTCAGCAATTAGCTTGTAAATCTCTTTTTTTAAAATCAGAACCAGACAGCCCAGCAATAAATGTAGCTTTTGAGAACAACCCCTATTTGTGCCCAGCTTTGTGTTAAGTACATGCAGATAAGTAGGTGCCCACGTGTGAAAAATGCACATAGGTCCTTCAGCATCTGTGGGATTTTTTTAAAAATGTATGTACAAAAAAACCCAAAAAACTCCCCCAAGTCCTAAATGTTCAACACATCTGAAAAGAAAGAGACATGAGAAAATCTGCAGGTCTCTTACCAAGAACGGGTGCAGCATTTGTAATGTTGAGAGGATGGTTTCTTTTTGCATCCCCTCCTTCAAGCCAGGTATGTCCAATAACTACACAGGAACATATTAAAAATAATCATTTATGTTTATATAGCCCAAGAGCCTTAACAACTACACAGAGATTTACATATAAACCCACAAATGAAAGGTTCTGTATAACAGAGGAACCGCCATTCTGGATCAGACCCAAGGTCCATCTACTACACTATTAGGTCTCAAACAGTGGTCAAGACCATGTGATTCAGAGGAAGGTGTAAGAACCACACAGTAGGCAGGTGTGGGTAATCTGTCTCCCGTCCCACACCCGAATCATGTCTCATCCTGATCTCTAATAGTTAGAGACTGGTTTCAGACCTTAAATGTGAGATTTCACATCCCTCCCAAAATGACAACAACAATTCTGGATACTCTTATCATATGTGCGTCCAATCCCTTTTTGAGTCTTGCTAGGTTCTAGTTAAGGTTAGAAAAGTAGATACAAAATATAGAATAAGTAAAGCTTTTGCCAAGTTTTTAGGGGAAGGTAGATCTAGATATAAATCCCTAAAGTTCTCACTATAAGGTAAATCAAACTCAAGCTATGGGAGTTCTCCTAGTACAGGAGGCTCTCAGTTTGGAGAAACCCGCAGCTGGTGATGTGGAGGGAGTGAGGTTGTAAACTCCTGAAGTTGAATTGCAAAGCACAAAGTAGTAGTGACGCAGAGAAACCAACTTTTTTTGATGTATGGATGATGTATGGATTTGATATTAAAAATAGCTTTATTTATTAATTAACAAAGACAGTGGTTTCCCCTGCGTGTTTTAACATTTGAATATCAGCCTAAATTTTCAAGAGAGATAAGTGATTTGGGGTGCCTTAATTTATTTTTGGATGTCCAGTCTGAGGCCCTTAAATGTGCCTGATTCCCAGAGAGTGGCACTCAGCGCTTTCTAACAAACCATCTGGGCATCCAAAATCACTAGTCAATTTTGAAAATTCTGGCCATCAAATTTCCCTCTCTTTGCTGGAGGACCATGGCAAAATTCTTAGAGGACTTCTGTGGTGACATCAGATACACACTGGAGCTCAGATTATAAGAGTGTGTGTGGGGGGGGGGGGGGGGGAGAGCCTGGTGAGGAATGTTGATCATTACTTTAAATTTCCAGTCTTTTCTAATTCTTAGACTTAACTTTCTGCTACTCTACCCTCCATCCCAGAGGTGGTCTATGTATGTAATAACTCTGGGATCCTTCAGAAAGAAAGGCCCTCTGTGAACATAAAGTAATTTTTTGGAAAGAGTGAAAACTATAAAAATGCACAGGAGCAGCTTGGGGCCGGCGGGGGGGAGGGGGGGGGAGGGGAAGAGGGCCTTTCCTAAACAAGAATGGGTGACCAAACTTTGTTTTTAATAGGAGAGGAGGCTGGTATAAAAAGGGTTGGGAAATGTGCCACTAATATGCAGTTAATGCAAAGACTGCTGTAGAAGAGCCATTAGAAATTACTTACGAAAGGAAGCAACCAGCCAAACTCATGATTATTTATTCCTATTATATATGGGACAGCACTGAAGTCTTTGCCAGCCATTAGCTCTTCAGGGTTCTTCTGAATAAACACACCATCTATAACTGCTGGGATAATTCCGACTTGCTGGAGGAGAAAAAAAGAACGCATTTTTAGAGCCCTGTGCAGATACAAAATTTATATCCGATCTGCGACCTGCAAAAATGGTCCATGGATATCTGTGGATATGAGCCAATATCTGTGGATTTGTAGGGCTCTACACATTTTCAATTGTTATGCGGACTTACTGGTTTTCCTATAGACAGTATTGCACAGTTTCAACTGAGACCAGACTTAAAAAAAAAATCAGACAAATATTAGTAACAGTGTGATGGGGTGGACTAGGTCTTGAGGTCCCCTGCTGGAGGCCTTGTGGCCCTGCTACACCTCACCCCAGAAAAGGGCAGTGGAGAGAGTCCTCCGAGCTGCCGAGAGTGGCTGTGTGGGAGGCAGCCAAGCAGGGCCCAGCAGGGTAGTATAAGAAGAGCTGCAGGGCCAGATTAAGCAGTTCCTTGCTTGAGTTGGAGGAGAGTGGATGGTACTCTGAACTGGCTGCTAGGACTCCACCAGGACAAGGCCCAGAGGAAAGGGTGAAGAATGTGCTGGAGCCTTGGGGAAGTAGCCCAGGGAATTAGAGCAGCAATGCAGATTATTTAAAGGGACATTGTGGTCGGCTGCTATCTGTTGGGTCCCAGGGCTGGGACCTGGAGTAGAGGGCGGACCCAGGTTCCCTGCCAGCCACTAGGAAAGTGGCCTGGACTTTGAGGCACCCCAGAAGGGGAACTGAACTGTAGTGACCCAGCTGAAGAGCTGGGGCCAGAAAGGCCCTGAGAGGGCCAAGTCACTACCTCCAGGGGAGGAGCCCTGGGGCACTGCTCTATTCTGGAGCAGGGAAAACTTGAGGGAGCCATTACAGAGAGCACTGGGAGAGGCCCCTGCTGGACTTTTTGCTTTTATCTCACAGACAGATTGTGTATGACTTGGCCAGAGGGCTGAGTCACTGAAGACCCACCACAAACAGAGAGAGTCCAGGCACACACACTTGGCCAGGGGGTGCTTGTGAAAGGTGAGTGTGACCCTATTACAAACAGTTATGCAAAAAAAATTATGATGCTGGTCCCAGTTCAGCCCAGACACACCTCTATGGATGTCAGTGCCATTATAACTGCATGCACTGTGGCTGCATTTGATATCTCAGTCAGCCTCACCCACCTGTTGTTGTTGAACATTCAAAATCATTTCTTCTTCTGGTTTCTTCCTTAGGCAATGAACCATTGCAGCTGAACTGGAGGTGTCACAGCCAGTTATGTTAGCGACTATCTGCAATTATTTACAAATAAAAAAATTAGATCTTTTAAAATCTTTTAGGTTCTAGGGAGATTATGTTAAATAGTAAAAACAAGAAAGTGTTACAAGGAATAGAAAGTGGAATTTGTGAAGCTAACCTAGCACACACACTTACAAGTCCATCTTTACTGAGCACCAATTTTTCCATAACATGCACCTGAAGTCCTAGGATGGGATTGTCAAAACTGCTCATTGTTAGCCTAATTGATTTAGTCTTATGCCAGATGCTTTTGAAAAATCTCACCCATAGCATAGAATACTAGCTGAATATGCTTACAAATCAGCTTGGTAGGTCTGGAATCTAAACAAGAGACCAAATGATAAGTGTAAAAAACATGTTGTTTTAAAGGGACATTTATAAACCTCACAAGAAATGAACGAAGCCAAGCGCAGCACTCTAGTTTCACATAACTGATCATCCTGTCTGATCATTGGCATGAGTTTAGAATAAAGTATCCTGCATCTCTTTCTGAACTGCTTGGCTGCTTTTGGTTGATGTAATAATATTTTTAAAAAATATTTTAGATTGTGCCAATAAAACAGCAATCAATCTCTAGAGTCCTTATATTCTACTGAAGCAGACTTACATTCCCCAGCATGAGCCCTCCACGAGTACCTATATAGGGGTATGAAGAAAAAGGAAGCTACATACAAAGTTTTAAGTCAAAAACTGAGTCTGAGGGGGAAGGGAAGAAAGAAACTCGCAAAGGAGGCAGATGACAGTTTCCACGTAGGAAAAACAATATGTAACATTTGAAGGATGGAATCTGATCTCTGTGTAATAGGTTGCAATGCACATGCCCCATGATGAAGTTTCAAAGAATCTAGCTGAACAAAGAAAAAATGTTAACTCCTCTGGAATGAGACACAGAGCTTAGAGGGCAGACGATGTGTCATCATAACTGTGCTGCTTCATTAACATAGTTAGTAAGAATGGGTATATCAGAACCTTAGCAGTCACTTCAGGATGTGAACTGAAGACGGCAGAAAAAAGTGCAACTCCACTCTCAGAGATGGCTTTATGGAACAAGCCCTTGGCCAAAGGAGAGAGAACCTGGAAGAGATTGGAAAAAAGTAGGGTTCAAACATTATAGTCAGTTTACAGTAGAGATGGACCAGGCTTCCAGTTTCAGATGGACATGCAACCTTTCCCAGAGTTTGGGATGGTTGTTCCTATTTGGGGGGCTGGTTCAGTTGTCAGACTTGCTGTAGTGTAGGACGGATACTCATTGTTATTCCCAACGTAAAGTAAAACCAGGAGTTTGTAGGGGGGAGGTGTTTCAAAGCCTCATCTGTATCCATTATAGCATTTGAGAGGAAGGGTGGCCTTGTGACTAAAGGGAAGACAGGAGTTCTATTTCTGGCTCTGCTACTGACCTGCTATGCCCTTAAGCTCTCTATGACTCAGTCACCCCATCTGTAAAATAGGGATAATACTTCCCAACTTCTCAGCAGCATTATGAGACTCGATCAGTCAGTGTTTGTAACACACACTGAAACCCATGGATGGAAGGCAGCACAGAAATGCAAAGTATTGCATTAATCACTATAAAACCTACAAGGCCAGAAACGCTAATGCCTCCTGCAGACTCTCCAAATATAGTGACAGATCCTGGATCTCCTCCAAAATGTTTGATATTCTCTTGAATCCACTGGAGCGCTGCCACTTGATCCAAAAAGCCCCAGTTTCCATGAGCGTGTTCATCACCAGTACTGAAAGCAAGAGGATTCTAAGTAAGTCCCAATAGACTTTATTTTGCTGTTATTAAGTTTATGGTTCTGTCTCCAGAAAACAAAAATAATCACTTATGTACATTGTTTAGAATAACCTTATTGAAGATACATATTTCTACAAGCCTACCTCTACAAATACCTACAGAGAATGGGCCTAATTCAACCCTGGGGTAACTTCCCCTTCAGTGAAGTGAGCTGTAGCTCACAAAAGCTCATGCTCAAATAAATTGGTTAGTCTCTAAAGGTGCCACAAGTACTCCTTTTCTTTTTGCGAATACAGACTAACACGGCTGTTACTCTGAAACCTGTCATTCGGTGAGTGAAGTAACTTCTGGTATGAATTTGGCCCAAGTTAACTAAGATACATAAACTTTTTCCTATTTGTGGTTTGACTTTTGGTTATAGGCTTCTGTGCATTTCTGGGTGATGAAAACAAAAAGAGACAAAATTGTAAATCCCCCCAAAATGCAGAACTGGAAAGGGTTTATGGCAACTCTATACTTAAAACGCTGCACAGCTGCAGCTGCGCCCCTGTAGCACTGAAGTGAGGATGCGCCTACCCTGACTTGAGAGAGTTCTCCCATCATTGGTGTAGTTAATCCATTTCCCCGAAAGGTAGTAGCTCTTCCATCACCATAGCGCTGTCTACCCAGAGGGATTAAGATTACTGTGCTGCTCAGGGGTGTGGATTTTTCACATCTCTGAGCAGCCTAGTTATACTGACATAGGTCTGTAGTACAGACGGACCTTAGTGCTGTTATTCAAGGGACTCTCTAAAGGTTAGGAACTAAAGGCCATGCATTAAATGTACATTATAGACATTGGCTATCAGCATCACTCACTGTCAATGCACAATTTGTCTCCCGAAAGTTAACACTATTTCAGCGGATATAATGACATTTGCTGTGGGTTTAAAACCTTCCTCAAATTGATGAGAATGGTACCAAACCTACCTTGTACAATAAGCCAGTAAAGTGAGGAACATCACTATGTAATGGGATCCCATGACCATAAAGACAGGTTTCGGAGGAACAGCCGTGTTAGTCTGTATTCGCAAAAAGAAAAGGAGTACTTGTGGCACCTTAGAGACTAACCAATTTATTTGAGCATGAGCTTTCGTGAGCTACAGCTCACTTCATCAGATGTTTACCGTGGAAACTGCAGCAGACTTTATATACACACAGAGAATATGAAACAATACCTCCTCCCACCCCACTGTCCTGCTGGTAATAGCTTATCTAAAATGATTAACAGGTGGGCCATTTCCAGCACAAATCCAGGTTTTCTCACCCTCCACCCCCCCACACAAATTCACTCTCCTGCTGGTGCTAGCCCATCCAAAGTGACAACTCTTTACATAATCAAGTCGGGCTATTTCCTGCATAGATCAAGGTTCTCTCACATCCCCCTCACCCCCATACACACACAAACTCACTCTCCTGCTGGTAATAGCTCATCTAAACTGACCACTCTCCAAGTTTAAATCCAAGTTAAACCAGAACATCTGGGGGGGGGGTAGGAAAAAACAAGAGGAAACAGGCTACCTTGCATAATGACTTAGCCACTCCCAGTCTCTATTTAAGCCTAAATTAATAGTATCCAATTTGCAAATGAATTCCAATTCAGCAGTTTTTCGCTGGAGTCTGGATTTGAAGTTTTTTTGTTTTAAGATAGCGACCTTCATGTCTGTGATTGCGTGACCAGAGAGATTGAAGTGTTCTCCGACTGGTTTATGAATGTTATAATTCTTGACATCTGATTTGTGTCCATTTATTCTTTTACGTAGAGACTGTCCAGTTTGACCAATGTACATGGCAGAGGGGCATTGCTGGCACATGATGGCATATATCACATTGGTGGATGTGCAGGTGAACGAGCCTCTGATAGTGTGGCTGATGTTATTAGGCCCTGTGATGGTGTCCCCTGAATAGATATGTGGGCACAATTGGCAACGGGCTTTGTTGCAAGGATAAGTTCCTGGGTTAGTGGTTCTGTTGTGTGGTATGTGGTTGTTGGTGAGTATTTGCTTCAGGTTGCGGGGCTGTCTGTAGGCAAGGACTGGCCTGTCTCCCAAGACTTGTGAGAGTGTTGGGTCATCCTTTAGGATAGGTTGTAGATCCTTAATAATGCGTTGGAGGGGTTTTAGTTGGGGGCTGAAGGTGACGGCTAGTGGCGTTCTGTTATTTTCTTTGTTAGGCCTGTCCTGTAGTAGGTAACTTCTGGGAACTCTTCTGGCTCTATCAATCTGTTTCTTTACTTCTGCAGGTGGGTATTGTAGTTGTAAGAAAGCTTGACAGAGATCTTGTAGGTGTTTGTCTCTGTCTGAGGGGTTGGAGCAAATGCGGTTGTATCGCAGAGCTTGGCTGTAGACGATGGACCACACCACACGATCCATCGTCTACAGCCAAGCTCTGCGATACAACCGCATTTGCTCCAACCCCTCAGACAGAGACAAACACCTACAAGATCTCTGTCAAGCTTTCTTACAACTACAATACCCACCTGCAGAAGTAAAGAAACAGATTGATAGAGCCAGAAGAGTTCCCAGAAGTTACCTACTACAGGACAGGCCTAACAAAGAAAATAACAGAACGCCACTAGCCGTCACCTTCAGCCCCCAACTAAAACCCCTCCAACGCATTATTAAGGATCTACAACCTATCCTAAAGGATGACCCAACACTCTCACAAGTCTTGGGAGACAGGCCAGTCCTTGCCTACAGACAGCCCCGCAACCTGAAGCAAATACTCACCAACAACCACATACCACACAACAGAACCACTAACCCAGGAACTTATCCTTGCAACAAAGCCCGTTGCCAATTGTGCCCACATATCTATTCAGGGGACACCATCACAGGGCCTAATAACATCAGCCACACTATCAGAGGCTCGTTCACCTGCACATCCACCAATGTGATATATGCCATCATGTGCCAGCAATGCCCCTCTGCCATGTACATTGGTCAAACTGGACAGTCTCTACGTAAAAGAATAAATGGACACAAATCAGATGTCAAGAATTATAACATTCATAAACCAGTCGGAGAACACTTCAATCTCTCTGGTCACGCAATCACAGACATGAAGGTCGCTATCTTAAAACAAAAAAACTTCAAATCCAGACTCCAGCGAGAAACTGCTGAATTGGAATTCATTTGCAAATTGGATACTATTAATTTAGGCTTAAATAGAGACTGGGAGTGGCTAAGTCATTATGCAAGGTAGCCTGTTTCCTCTTGTTTTTTCCTACCCCCCCCCCCCAGATGTTCTGGTTTAACTTGGATTTAAACTTGGAGAGTGGTCAGTTTAGATGAGCTATTACCAGCAGGAGAGTGAGTTTGTGTGTGTATGGGGGTGGGGGGGATGTGAGAAAACCTTGATCTATGCAGGAAATAGCCCGACTTGATTATGTAAAGAGTTGTCACTTTGGATGGGCTAGCACCAGCAGGAGAGTGAATTTGTGTGGGGGGGTGGAGGGTGAGAAAACCTGGATTTGTGCTGGAAATGGCCCACCTGTTGATCATTTTAGATAAGCTATTACCAGCAGGACAGTGGGGTGGGAGGAGGTATTGTTTCATATTCTCTGTGTGTATATAAAGTCTGCTGCACTTTCCACGGTAAACATCTGATGAAGTGAGCTGTAGCTCACGAAAGCTCATGCTCAAATAAATTGGTTAGTCTCTAAGGTGCCACAAGTACTCCTTTTCTTTTCATGACCATAAAGAGAGGTACTTGAAAGAATGAACCTATAAACATGCTTCTGTATCTCACGTGATCTGTGTGTTTTAGGACTTCATGGAGGCGTCATTTGAAGAAGCAAGCGTGTAAAATAGTTCTTTTGGACAAATATTTAGAGGAATGCAGCAGAACAGTGCTCCTACTGTTGATATTTAATATTTTATATCATTAAAATGTTTCACCCATTATATCCTTGTATACAAACTGTTTGTGTTTTAATGGGGATGTGATGATACAAAGACTCACCTAAAGAATCCAGTGATACCTAATCGATACTGTATAGTTACCACCACCAAATTCTCAGAGGCAGATAATCCAGACCCATCAAACATTGAAGCTCCACCCATCGACAGACCTCCTCCATGGATCCACACCATAACCTGAAAAGAACAAATCTGGTGACAGCTCTGATCTCATATGTAAAAACCCAAATCAGAACATTGCAGATTGAAGTTCTAACGCAGATGCACTAACTGAAGACTGGACGTAAGCTAGTGCTCGTGTTACACAGACTGTTCTGGAGACTAAAATCCATCCAACAGGGAAAACAAGGGCAGAGGTAGAGCCGCTTTTCTTCAGGTGTAGTCAGTTACATAAAGCTTAGATAAACATGGGCTATGTTAACCCCTGTTCCGAGATTTAGACTGCTAAAATGCAGACATGAATTACATGAAAGGGAGGCATGGTCCAATAGAGCTAGAGATGCTCGCTCTCATACAGATTCCCTTTGTGGCCATAGGCAAGTCATTTAACCTCTTCTGCCTTATCTGTAAAATGGGAATAATGACAAATAGCAAGCTAATCCCCACATTACTCCTAGGAGTTAATTACTGCTTGTAAAGCACTATGTAAATAATATGGTAGGATTCAGAAAGGCTTTTGAAAGACATTAAGAAGGAACCTGTAATAGTTTAGATACAACTCCCAATTATGTCTTTCCAACAAAAACACACTTCCCTCCCCAACTCTTAAACAATGAAGGATGTGTAAAAAGCTTGGAGGAGTAGATCTAGGAAAAGGACCTCTTTCTCCTCGTCTGGAGAGCTGCCAGAAAAATTACTTCCAAAACACCTTTCTTAAAAACTACTCTTTAGCTTGAATTTTGGCTTAAGTGAGTACTTCCAGCTCTACAAAATTAAGGGGATGCAGACGTTGTCTTGGCTGCTGTCCAGTACTATTGGAGGAGATCTCTGAGCACTTGTAATAATTGTCATGGTTTGAAAACATTACATTTGTACAGTAGCTTTGCTTACAGGTAACTTGGCTTTCTCATTGGAATGGGCAGGGGTATAAATATTCAGGTACAAACAGTCTTCAGAAATTGGGAAGTTAAGTTGTTTAGGTAGAAACATTTCTTCAAATTTTTCCAGTATCGCCTGGTCTTGTAAGCACCTTAAAGAACAGAAAGGAGAAGAAGGTTCTTCACTGTTATGATGACAAAAATATCCATTATCAGTTTCACTGGAGGATGTTACATTTCATCATACATTTTTTAAAAAATAATTTAAAAAATTCAAATCATGATTCTTTTTATTTAAATTCAGATTTTTTTAAAGTTTACATGCTGCTAGTTCTTTCTTCCCATCTTATAGTCTGAAATTGCGAATGTGGATGTTTTGTACTTGTTTCATCAATTAGTTTGCCAATTAGCAGAATTTCAGTTTTTACATGGAGATTTTTTTCTAGTAAAAAGTTTCATGCTGGGGCCCTGATTCAGTGAACACACATGTGCTTAACTTCACTGTTGTAGGTATACCCACTGAAACCAACTCAGCTAGTTATGGGAATATAGTTAGTGTTTGCAAGGTCAGGGCATTAAAATGCTCATCTCTGTTGAAAAAGTCAAACACAGGGCCTCATTAACATCCTTACTGTGATAACTCCACAAACCCAACCCCGAAACTGATAGCAAATAGCACATGCTATATTTCCAACCAACACTACTTTCCAATATACTGACCTTCCACAAGTCAAGAAGGTTGAAATGCTTCAACAAGGCTATACTCCTCCATTACAGTTTGCACGCAGAAGTCAAAGGGACATTTGCTCACTTATGCCTAAAACTGACTTCTATTTTTACAGATTTTGTGCATGTATAAAAAAGTTCGCAATAACTTGGTTCATGCATTGAAAGTTACTGCAACTTTTCATTGTTAACACAGAAGGAATTTTGTTTTAAGTCACTAGTAAATTTAAAAAAAATACATAACAGTTTTACCTGCTAATGTTGCAAACACTGTTGCACATGCTTAACTTTAAGCACATGACTAGTCACAATAAAGTCAGTGGGACTATTCATGTGAGTCAAGTTAAATATTTACAGAATCAGGATGTTAATTTTTCAAATATCTGGGGTTTTTTGCTTATAGCAGTTTTGTAAAATTCAAATAAGGTACCCTACCAGTAGCACCATTGTTTTTAAAACAGCATTTAGAATTTAGTTCATTATAAATTTAAATCTAAAATTGCAATAGCACAAGTTTCCAAATCAGTTTGACAAAGCCTCAACCTGTTTTAAGTCAATGATTTAAAGAAAATCAAGTGATTTAATATACCTTGATTTAAATTTCACCACCCTGTTTCATCAGCAGCTCAATTTTCCCGTATAAAAATGGTTTAAAAATTTGATATCAATTAGGTCATTTTAGCAACTTAGGCATTTGTAATGAATGCTTCCTTCACCATATTTCTTATATACAGCAGGAAAGAAGAAAAGAAAAAAAGTGCCAAACCAGTTTCTCTGCTCTTCCTGTAAGCAGTAATAGTAATTCCATACTGTATTTCACAAGACCTCACCAACAATGCGGTTTAAAATTAACTGTTTGAGGTGTTAACATCTATCACTGGTAATAGTTTAAACTTGTGTAGCACCTGCTATTCAAGAATCTCAAGCAAATCCTCATCAATTTCAGCTGAGTTTCCCAGTTAGAATTTGGGTGTGGAGGACTTCTATGAAACAGTCTATATGTTCTCCAGTCACATTCCATAGGATTATCACATCTGTAACTGTGTGTCCCGTTAAGACCAGCGTGCCTTAGACAAGTAGGAACCCCAACACTGTTGTTTGAGGGGTTTAGTGCAAGAGTAAAACAGTATTTAGTATTGCTAAAACAGTATTAAGCCTGCACCAGTTTGTGTGACTAGATTTACCATCAGGGCAGTTTTTCGTTATTGTAAAAGCATACTCATTGGGCTGAAGTTCTCCTCAAGGATAAACACCTTTCCCCAGTGAATAAATTCAATTTATTTAGGCCAAAAATGTTACATTAAAAAAAAGTAAAAGATGTATAATTTGGAGCACAAGGGTTCTTACACTGGTGGAAAAGAAGTTGCATCTCTCACACTAATCCATGGTTCAGCTGGTTGTGGTGGGGAAAATCTCAGGGCTCCCACAGGTGGTTTTGCAAAAGGAATTCCAAGAAACACATTTGTAAGTCTGTCAGTTCCCTTGACAGTAACCTGTTTCCCTTTCAGTGGCCCATATTTGGTAGCCACTTCTGGTTGTTCGGGTTGTTGTCCTGTATAACATAAGATAAATAAATAACCGGACAAGTTAATAGCCTGATTCAGAGTCCTGCTGACTTAATGGGGTTTGGATCAGGCCCCACTAGCACCAAACACTAGTACCCATAGAATTTGCTTTTTTACCCCTTCTCTTCAAAGCTTTCCATTGTTTTCAGTGGCCACAGTAAATGTAGCTATTACAAACACTGATTTCTCCATTGCAGCGTACATTCCCCCAGTGTCAGATATTTTCCCGTCATTAGCTTTTTCAGCAGCTAGGAAAAAAGAGCCTCGAAAGCCACCGTTTTGCAGTCAGTTCCAGAGATGGGCCACAGTGAAAACTGCAGATCCAAACAACCATCAAACAACCACCAAACTTTTGAATGTTTGAAATCTGAAATTTTGTGACTTAAGTCTTGAGTCCATCCCTATCTACAGTACATGACTTAAAAGCAGGGTCTAAAGTTACCTAGAGTACAATTGTTATCCTATCAATCATTATACTCGGTCCTGCTGCTGAGCAGGCGAGCACACATCACAAAGTTCAATGTCTTGTGTAGTCTGGTAAATTTCCCCTTCGTCTTTGAAAGCTCTAATATTTAGAGCTAACGTTTAAAGAAGTGCAGCAAAAATATTTCATGGCTCTGGTCAGTACTAGCCACACTCTTCCCAGACTATCAGCAAAAGAAAGGCTCCTTATTTTTCTTGAAAAGAACCTGCTCTGAAATATAGGAATGGTGGGATTTTTTTTTTTTGGCACTCTCTCCATTCTACTGCCTTCAGCTCTCCTAAGTAGTGAGGTGCTGTAAAAGCACAGCAAAAACAACTATGAAGTATGGATACAAAGATGACTAGATTTAATAAGAAAAAAATAGTAATCTAAAGCTGTGTTCAGAACACAGCCAGCCTAAGCATTGGAGATCAGAAATGAGCCCACAAACACAAGAAGATAAGCTCAGATCTGATGTAAGCAAGTGAAACTCTATTGTAATTTAGTGGATAAACTTTTTAACTGGAGTTACAGCAGGTAGGAATTTGACCCAAGAACTCTGCTGTAGAAACAACAATTAGATAAAAGTTGAAGTAATTTCAACTGCTGATCCAACAGAGTTAACCATATAATGAGCAGCCTTCATGTGCACTCTGGATAGATTTTGATAGTCAACTTAACATTTCTACTTTCAGACAATGCAGATTTCCTTTCAAATATTTTATGTACTAATATTTAAATTAGCCTTAAGAAAGACTGTGATGACAAATGACCAGAAAATGTACAGACTAAGTCACACATTGTCTTTGTAAAAGTGAAATAGATCAATTCCTGAGAATAATCCTTTGTCTCCAGTACAAACTAGGTCCTGTAAACTGTCTGCCAACTTCATTTGGGGGAAAATTAAAATGAAATAGGATTTTGATTAAAAAAACTACACAGAACCAGACAGAAACTGATTGTGGAATCCCTGAATCCCACTCAGTGTTTGCCTTTAAAGTAAGACATTTTATTCCTTACCCTCAACTAGAATTGCAAGCACCCATGCTGCACAAATCAGGGACCAAAGCAAGGAACTCCTGCCAGGAAAAGACATTTTCTTCTGTGCGCTTGAACACAGTGTTGTCTTCCTTGTTTTAACTGCTGAAAAAGCAAACCCAAAAGTCACACTACAAGGGCCAAACTATGAGCTCACAATTACATTCTCTTTCAAACACATGATAGAAATATGTTGAAATCTGTTTTTAAAACTCAGTTTTGACCTAAGCCCTGACTGAAAATGAGTCAGTAGTTTTTGGAGGAAGTCAATATGGTACCTGTCACAGAAAATCACCTGGGAGCAGGGACATCCCTAGCTATTCTGGGGCCCTATGCAGCCCCTCCACAGGGGGTGTGTGGTCCCAAGCCTCTGCGGGGGTGGGGGCGGGGCTGGCTTCGGGGGCAGGTAGGAACTGCCCCCCCAGCACTCACTGGCAGTGCGGCTGGGGCTGGGTTGCAACACTTCCCACTGCTGGTGAGTGCAGGCCCGACCCTGTGGCAGTCCTCAGGGGAGTGGGGGCGGGGCAGGGGCTTTGGGGAAGCAGTGGGGGTGGGGCTAGGGCAGAGCAGGGGTGGAAAGAGACGGGGCTGGGGCAGAGCAGCATGCAGCTGAACAGGGCACCAGGAAATGTGGTGCCCCAAATTTCCTGGTGCCGTACGCAGCGTACTTTGCATATGGGTAGGGACGGCCCTGCCTGGAGTAATGATCACACTCCCTGCCTCTCCCCCATTTTGAGCCACACTTATGTCACAATCATTGTGAGTTCCTCTTTGCTTTCTGAAATGCAGGGTAGGAGGGAAGACAAAGCAGTTGTACAAACTATTTGAAATCAATTCAGCAAGGAAAAGCTGATAGGACTCACTACAAAATTAGGTTGGTGCACTGAGAGTATTTCAATAAACCTGCACTTCTTCCTGCAGAGGGGATATTGTTCAATATAATAGTCACAATACAGAACTGTGAGAGGAGTGCACATGTGACTGCTCACACCTCACAGACCCAGACTCAAGAGTGGGGGAGAAGTCAGGCAACCTGTACCCCCTCAGGTCCAAATGCCTGTTGTGTACCCTCACTTCCCTCCCAGTTGGCAGCACGTAAGGGAGCTCTCTAAGGCAATTGCACCAGCCAGAGGCTCAACTCCTCCTCTTCCCTTCCCCTTGCAAGGGATGAGGATCTGTCTGGAAAGAGGGTCAGTCTCTCAGACAGCCCCAGGACATTCAGTTTGAAGGGTTTGGTCTCCCAGAGTCTATTGCCCCTTTGCAAGGTTTACCTTATACCCCTCTTCCTGCCATGTATTGCCTCACTATAAGTCAGGGGGGCTTTGGGAGCGGTGGGTTTTGTGGCTGTCTCCTCACACCGATATGGAAGAGGCTAACATGCTCTTCTGGGCCTGTTCCACGCTAAGGAGACCTACCTGCTAGGTTTGTTCAGCCTGGTGGAGAAGGAGCTTAAAAGGGGGAATTTACTACAGGAAGGGGCGCTGAAGAGGAAGAAGGTGCTCCATCCAGAGACTGCTGGCCATCAGGCCATTAATTTAGACTTGGCTGAGGGCAATAGCTGAAAAATATTGTCACCCATCTGAAGAGTCCATAGTCATACCTCCCCCCACTGTAATTTTGTTCCTGGGTGTGTTGGGCCTTCCTCAAATTCTCCCGGGTGAACACCCCTATATTTCTGAGTTGCTCACTTAACTGTATGATATATTGAATTGCGCTTAAGGCCCCCCACATCTTTTTCTTCCTGTCCTTCTTGTCGCAGATCTAAGATGCCCTGCAGTTGGCAACCATAGAGCAATTAGAACAGGGAGAATCCTGTAGAGGCTTGTAGGACCTCCTTTATGGCAAACAGGAGTGGTAGTGTAACCCGGAAAATGGATTTTGGGGCACCCCTAGAATAACCTGCCTATCACCCCTTTAACCTGTCCTTCCCAAGATATGGGTTTCCAGGGCAGTTAAGGAAACACTAGAAGACATAGCTATAACCTTCCGATAAAATGATTGACACAGGCAGTATTTTCTCCTAAATAAAGTATCTTTTATGAATGTAACTAATAATCCCTACCACAGTATAATCTACAAATAAAAATCAGACACAAATCCCTTATTGCAAGTTAAAGAGCAATTAAACCACAATAACATAATTTTATGATACTGAGTGGATGCGCTCTGTAACGGCTGGTCCATTACAGATCGCTGACAGGTTTCAGAGTAACAGCCGTGTTAGTCTGTATTCGCAAAAAGAAAAGGAGTACTTGTGGCACCTTAGAGACTAACCAATTTATTTGAGCATGAGCTTTCGTGAGCTACAGCTCACTTCATCAGATGCATACCGTGGAAACTGCAGCAGACTTTATATATACACAGAGAATATGAAACAATACCTCCTCCCACCCCACTGTCCTGCTGGTAATAGCTTATCTAAAGTGATCATCAGGTGGGCCATCTCCAGCACAAATCCAGATTTTAGCAGTTCTTAAACGTACTCTAAATTTTACATAGGTAACTTATGATTAACAACAGAATTTTATGCATCTTTATTAACACCCATACACACACATTAATACTATACCCTACACTACGCTATACTATACCATACTTATATTTATACTGTAATTAAAACTAATGGGTTTACGCTATCTGCTGACTTTAGCCGCTACCACTGCTGTTGCTGCTTTGCCAGATTGTTCCGTTCTGTTCTGGTCCGTCAGGTCAGTTCTCTGCTTGATCTCGCCGTCTGTTCTGCTCCGGCAGCCGCTCTCCTAACTCCTCACTTCTTCTCTCTCAGCTGTTCTAACCATCGACCTTTTATACAGTGCTCTCAGCTATCAGATCTTTACTGCACATGCTTATCACTACTTGTATGCCACAGAGTTATGCCGCACCTGTTTGGCTTTGTGGCAATTCTATGGAGGGTGTTTTTTGTTTTTTTTTAGCTGAACTTTAAACTTTCTGGCCTACTGTCAGCAATGAAGTATCATATGACCTGCAGCTTCTAATGGTAGACTGACTTTTGCCTATTCAAAATGGAAGCTAGGGACACAAAATGGAGTCCAAAGAATCTCTCCAGTATCAGAGCTGGTCCCACTGCCTGGGTTTGTCACTTCAGCATCCCCTTCAGGGTCTTATTAAACCACCTTACTAGACCATCAGTCTGCAGGTGGTACACTGAGGTCTTCAGAGACTTGACCTTCAGAAGGAAGCATAATTCCTGTATCATTTGGGAAGTGAAGTTAGTCCTGTGGTCTGTTAATATTTCGCAGGGAAACCTTCTGAGTGAGAAGAGCTTCAAGAGCTCTGGAGCTATAGCTGTTGCTTTTGGGGAGTGGAGAGGCACAGCCTCTGGATACCTGGCTGCATAGTCTACAATAACTAATATGTACTGATGCCCTGCTGCAGTTTTTTCTAGGGTGACCATGTCTACCGCGATCCTTTCAAAAGAGCTGTCAATCAGGGCAGAAGGACCCAGGGTGCCTTGGGAATCCCTTTGCTTCTAGCTAGTTGACACTCTGGGCAGGAGGAACATTATTCTCTCACTTCATGGTTTACACCTGGCCAATAGACTTGAACTAATATCTGGGCCAATATCTTTTCTCTCCCGAGGTGGCCCATGTAGGGGATATCACGTATCAACTGCAACACGGCCTGGCGGTACCAGCATGGTACCACCAGCTGGTCTCTCACCAATCCAGTTTGCTGATTCTTCTCTATTTGGTATAAGTGCACCTTCCTGAGTGCAAAGTGTGGATACCATTCACCTTCCTGAGACTCTGTTTTAATGGGGACTAGTTGCTCATATGCATGGCTTAACTTAGGGTTGCTCCTCTGTTCTAACAAGAAATTCCCATTCCGTAAGAGGACTGCCAGCTCCTGGTGGCCTGCTTCTTTCTTTCGGTGAGGGTCTGCAGCTGTGTTGCTCAGGATGTCCCTTCTCTGGGGTCATTGGCTTCCCCAAGGTTTGCCAAGCTCTGGCAAACTGGTGTCGCCACTTGGCCCCGTTCTCACTTGCGGCCCAGGCCTGGGTATTAATAACCTGCCATAAAAAGGATCATCTAGGCTATAATCATGGGGTAGGCCAATTTTTCTGCTAAGGCTGCGGTTATTACTGCAGTATGGGCTCCCACCATCAGCTGTAGCTGCTGGCTGGGGTAGGTCTTGACATTGCCATGGATACATTGAAGGTGGATTGTGTTTTTGGGAGTGGTGTTACTTCTCACCATGGAGGCCTGGACCACTGTCTGGCTGCAGCTTCCCTTGGACCATCACCGGTGCCATCAACTTGGGGAGGGGGTGTTTCCGTGCCCGGGTTTCCACCATCCAGCCCGGGGCGTACTCACACGCCATCAGTGGGCACTCCCTCGATATGTGCCATCTGCCCACAAGCATAGCATGTTAATGGGCTGGGGTTGCCAGCCTCTTTCCCAGACTGAGGGCAGCTCGCCTGCGGGATGTGGGCTAGACCTTCATCTATGAGCCACGCTTCAGATGTCTGGGGTGCCTAGCAGGCCTACTGGTGGCGTTCCACTCGCACTTGGCCTCCTTGTGCCCCTTGGGCTGACCTGGGAGTAAGGGGTGGCCTGCCCATTTGGGAGCAGGGCCGGCCTTAGGCATGAGCAAATGGGGCGAAAGCCCAGGGCGCCGTTACAAACGGGGCGCCTCCGGAGCAGGGGGGCCCCCTCCCCCCTACTGCTCAGCTGGTGTCTGCAGCTCCTGTCCGCTGCCTTAGAGCCGCCCCGGCAGTTGCTCTTGGGATCTTCCTGTTTGCTGTGCAGAGGGGGAGGGATGGGGGGGAGGAGGGATGCTAATGTCAGGGTGTCCCCTGCACCCACCCCCCCAGCCATCTCCGCACAGCGGGTGGTGGGGTGGGGGGGACAGAGCGGCTGGCGGCTGCTGCTGCGTCTGAAGGAGCTTTCCTTCAGACTGCTGCCTGCCGCTCTCTTAAAGGGGCAGCGCGTGTCTCTCACACACTCCCCCAGCTCACACACTGTCTCTTTCACACTCATCACCGCCCAACACAGGGGTGGCCAACCTGAGCCTGAGAAGGAGCCAGAATTTACCAACGTACATTGCCAAAGAGCCACAGTAATATGTCAGCAGCCCCCCAATCAGTTCCTCGCCCCCTCTCCCTGCTCCCAGCGCCTCCCACCCACCGGCAGCCCCGCCAATCAGCACCTCCCCCTCCTCCTCCCTCCCCGCACCTCCCGATCAGCTGTTTCATGGTGTGCTGTGCGGTGGGGGGGGGGGGGGCAAGGGCACGGCAGGCTCAGGGGAGGGTGCGGGAAGGGGTGGAGTGGGGGCAGGGCCGGGGGTTGAGCAGTGAGCACCCCCCGGCACACTGGAAAGTTGGCGCCTGTCGCTCCAGCCCTGGAGTCGGTGCCTAGACAAGGAGCCGCATATTAACCTCTGAAGCGCCGCATGTGGCTCCAGAGCCACAGGTTGGCCACCGTGGCCCAGTACATGCTGATATTGTCGTCGTCACTTGTTGGTACTTCCTACAGTGCACATATATTCTCTGTAATTGTATTCTTTCAAAGGGCTGTTATTTTAGTTTTTTTTACTGGGCTATGCATTTCATAATTGTATTTCTCTCTTAGGCTTATATTGAATTCTTTGAGTAGTGAGTTCTAAAATGCCTAACCTGTCCTGGCTGGAGTAATTATCATTATTACTTTTATTATCATATTGTGCTTTGGCATTCATTATTTAAAGTGGTACAATCAAATAATAGCATCCTCCTAGAATGTAACTTTAGCTTGTACTCACTTTAGCAATGCCAGTTTAAAAAACATTGTTCTAACTATGTGAAAGAAAACTTTCACCTTTAGCTTTCAAGGACAAGGCAGAGGAGGAGATCCATTTTAGTGCTATAAGACAGAAAGGTGAAACTTTCCAGGCAGCGCAGTAAGGGGGTGGCGGGGGGGGGGGGGGATTTGGATAGAGGGCTGTCAAGGTTCCTCCCCCACTCTGAACTCTAGGGTACAGATGTGGGGACCTGCATGAAAAACCTCCTAAGCTTATCTTTACCAGCTTAGGTCAAAACTTCCCCAAGGTACAAAATATTACACCCGTTGTCCTTGGACTGGCCGCTACCACCACCAAACTAATACTGGTTACTGGGGAAGAGCTGTTTGGACGCGTCCTTCCCCCCAAAATACTTCCCAAAACCTTACACCCCACTTCCTGGACAAGGGTTTGGTAAAAAGCCTCACCAATTTGCCTAGGTGACTACAGACCCAGACCCTTGGATCTTAAGAACAATGAACAATCCTCCCAACACTTGCACCCCCCCTTTCCTGGGAAATGTTGGATAAAAAGCCTCACCAATTTGCATAGGTGACCACAGACCCAAACCCTTGGATCTGAGAACAATGAAAAAGCATTCAGTTTTCTTACAAGAAGACTTTTAATAAAAATAGAAGTAAATAGAAATAAAGAAATCCCCCCTGTAAAATCAGGATGGTAGATATCTTGCAGGGTAATTAGATTCAAAAACATAGAGAACCCCTCTAGGCAAAACCTTAAGTTACAAAAAAGATACACAGACAGAAATAGTTATTCTATTCAGCACAATTCTTTTCTCAGCCATTTAAAGAAATCATAATCTAACACATACCTAGCTAGATTACTTACTAAAAGTTCTAAGACTCCATTCCTGGTCTATCCCCGGTAAAGACCAGCATATAGACAGACACAGACCCTTTGTTTCTCTCCCTCCTCCCAGCTTTTGAAAGTATCTTGTCTCCTCATTGGTCATTTTGGTCAGGTGCCAGCGAGGTTACCTTTAGCTTCTTAACCCTTTACAGGTGAGAGGAGCTTTCCCCTGGCCAGGAGGGATTTCAAAGGGGTTTACCCTTCCCTTTATATTTATGACAAGGGCATGGGAGTTCAGGGGGTGGTTAGAGGGGGGCCTGTCGGGGGCAAGAAGTGGGGGGGTCGGATAGGGGTTGGGGCCTGGGCCATGCCTGGCTGTTTGGGGAGGCACAGCCTCCCCTAACCGGCCCTCCATACAATTTCAGAAACCTGATGCAGCTCTCAGGCCAAAAAGTTTGCCCACCCCTTATGTAAACATTAATCAGACCCACTGGAAAGTGACATTGAACTGATGGAATTGTACAGTTACATTGTATCCTCCAGAGACCAAATTTTTCATCTCTAAAATAAATTCTCCCCTCTCACCTCATGTAACAAAAATAAAACTGCACGTTTGAAAGTCATTGCTGTTTACCTTAGAGCAAGAACCAGGGATGTTAAAAATTAAAGGTCAGGTTATAACCACCTTATGCAGGGTGCGCAAGGTCAGAGAGGGCACAAGAAGCCAGTCAAAATTGCAATCCTACAAACAGGGTAGGCTTTCTGCCAGCACCTCATAGGGTGCAAACCACCCCAAAAGTGGCAGGAAGAGATAGGGCTATGGGCTGAGTGGAACTAGCTGACTAGCAGGCATGTATGCCGCAGTCTCAAGGGACAGAGCTGCAGGCACCTTTCCTCAGCACACCACAGTGGAGTTCCAGAAGGGCTTTGTGTCTTCAGATACACAAACCCCTGCAGTATTAATCAGGGGAGTACAGCTTGAAACCACTACAGCCTTGGGGAACAATCTTGCCACACTGGGCTCAGATCCACCGAGCTTCTGTTTCTCACAAGCAGTCCTCTCTCAGTCTAGGCCCTTTGCAGGGTTAACGTTCCCTTTCAGCTTCTGCAGATGGGTTCTTTTCTTCCTTTTCCCACATCTGAGTCCCTGAGCTTCCTTCTAAATGAATCAACCCAGCTGGTCCACAGCAATCATCAGAGCTTTGTGTTGCTTCTGGCTGCTCTGCCTTCTTGATCTAGCTGGCATCATGAGTTACAAATCATAAGCACCCTTCCTTAGCCTTAATCCACCCTGCAGGGAGACCTGTGAGCCTTATGGATTTAATATGCTTGAAAACAATTTCAGAACAGTATGAACATCATGGGCAGAGCTTCTGAAGGGGTCTTTCAAGGAGATATTCCAGGCTGAAACATGCAGTACTATACATACTTATTCATCTTGATTATAAGTAGAATCCTGTCTTTGTATGATGAGCATTTCAGTATGTAACATTGTGTGTGACACTGGGACAACTTTTGCTGTGTTTTTAAATAGTTACTTAATACAGGCAACTAATTTTTGTTTGAGGCTCACATCTTTATTCCTGTTATTGTATTACAATTTTTATCCGTTTTATCTATCCCTGATCACACACAACGACATAATCTCTGACGTATCAGTAAACAAAGAAAATTTCAGTGGCTCAGATTATTTCATTTTCCATTGCTTTAATTTATCCAGGGAAGAGTAAAAGACAAATTAATCAAAAAAGGGAAATTATCTGATACAAAATCAAATGTTGTGCAATTTTACAAGTGAAAATATTACTGAAAAATGTTAGATGATAAAAGAGATTGTTTTAATTTTGGAAAAATGTTAATGTTTCTTTTCTTGGTAAGTTATTTGCACTGTGTTTGGTATGGGAGAGTGTGGTTAAGCTTTTAGCAATATTACATATATGTGTACGTACATTGAGATTGGCTAACAACCTTTGCATGTGTGCTCTTTCATTTTCTGTTTAAAAACCCCCTCCCAAAGCATTAATATAAACCAAAAAGCCCTACCTAGCATCATTCAAAGTCTGGTTGAGGAAACAGAAGCATGCATCTCAGGATATAATTTGGCCCTATATTTTTAACATTTCCCCATCAGACTTTTCTGATATTTGAAATCATTTATGTTCCAAATTTTATTCCAGTCCATTATCAAAATGTAGATATTTGAGGGGAATATGTGTTGCTGTTTAAAAGATACACACCATGTTGGATTCATATCTCAGAAGATGGGTCTCTTCCTGAGATACAGAGTTCTATTTCCCTGTACTTCCTCTAATACAAGATTATCCTTTACATTAAATCCCTAAATGCTATATCTAGTCTTCCCTCCAATGCCCCTAGTGCCTCAATTACTTCTGTTGGGACTTTTTCAATTGTTAATATCTCCTATTATTTAATGTAAATGATCTGGAGTTTTCCACTTTGTCACATATTTCGCTAGTTAGCAACAAAATCTCTATAATGTCCAGAGCTTTGCTCTCACTTCCCTCAATCAAACTAAAAAATGTGCTAATAAGATTAAACTTTTTCTATTGAACCAATATTATCTGGTAGAATTTTGCTGTGACAAATTGAAAGATACAAATTTAAACATTATCATTTATAACTCTGAGTGCTCTTTCCTGTCTTCAGTTATTTTCTTCACATTTTCAGGGAAGATCTCTGTCCAGAACTCCACTCTGTTCTGTTTCAGTTTCTCTGCTTTCTTTTGCTTTAAATTTAATTCCAGGTATTGGTCATTCAAATCATAGACTGGCCATTCAACCAAACCTTTGCCATTAGGATTTCTGGAAATGACAGAATGAAGAATAAAATCCCCATTTAATCTATTGAGACTAAACAAATTCAAATGTTACAACATAATATTTTATTATAGCATTATTCTCACCCATTTCGAGCAAAGTTAGCCCAATATTTCATTATCGTTCGGCTGAGGTGTTTCTCTTCCTCCGTAGCCTCAGCTGAAAGGGAGAATATGTAAATGTAACTATTTTGTAAAGTAAAAAACCAAAACAAAATGTTTGAAATTATACATGCATAATATCAAAGCATGAGTGCATTAGACTATTCAAGATACAAGTTATAACAGAATTGCTTAATAGGGAATGATGCTTACAGATTTTTATTGTTTAGATATTATTCTAGCCTGTCTAATGCTAGTATTTTCAAAGTTTACCAGCCAAAAGAATGATGAGTTGGCTCATTATATATGTTCCTGAGCATTCAGTCCTTGTTCTAAAATCATACATAAATATGTTTGCATCTCAACAGATCGTGTAAAGCTGCTATTCCTAGTCATTCCCTTAGAGAAGCAGGAAGGTACAGTGAAGAGAAAAAAAAAAAGCTGTGAAGACAGGTTCACAGCATAGATGTGTGCTAAATTCAAAACCACATCATAGTCCTGATGCACAGGTGGAAAACTGGTTTGTCAATATACATGTATTTCCACATACAGGGTTTAAAAGATGCAACAGGGTGTAGAAAGAAAATGCCGTAAGTACCACTCTAAAGATAACCCTCAATAAAAGAATGTACGAGCTTAAATTATGTGGAAGGAAGAAGGGAAGGACAAAAAAAGTACATCAGTGTTATAAGGAAAAAAACCAAAGTTAATGAAAAAAATAACTTACCCATCTTTTCTTTGTTAGCAAAAGTACTTAGTTCAACGAAGTGAAAAGTGTGGGTCGTATTTGTTTAAAAGACAAGTATGCATCCATACTGTGAAATAGGTTTACTTTACCATGAAAGGATAATATCTGAAAGATGAGTCCTTACCAGTTATGCCTGTATCATCTCCCAAGAACGGCATACCAAAGACAAAGAAAAGTTCATCTGAATGATCCGCCTTTACAAAATCTGGCCTAGTATCTTTAAAAATACTGGGTCCATGCTGGAATTCATAAAAGTAGAGAGGAGCGCCAGAGTCTAAACAAGATAACATTGAGAATCAAAGCCAAGATTACAATTACTGTGCTTTCCACAGGGAACCATTAAATCAGATCAACAGCTTCATGCATGTTCTGAAATCTCTTTTCATATTTTAAAAGGCTGCAATAGATTAAATCTTGAAATCAGATGCTGACTAAAATTCTAGCTCAGCTAAGGTTTAGAATCAGTTGTTTCTGAACTAGATTTCAGAAAATACAAGAGGCTGGGGTACAAGCAGACTAAATTCACTGATTTAATATCCCTCCCGTCCTCTCCTTCGATCTAAAGAACACACACCACCACCCAAGACCCGACAATAGTATTGGATACAGAATAATTAGAACTAAATGAACTTGGGGCCAATATTTTTTTTAGCTGCATCCAATACTAAATGAAGAAACAATGTTTTGGCATATTGACTGAAAAATATGAGGGCACTACCATAGGAGAAACATCCATTAGCTCCTGGTTTAGCTGAGGAAATCCAACCTCAGTGTTAACATGTTATGTTCTTTCATGTAATTTATTTCTGCTGCATAAAACTTGATCCTGCCTAACTCTAGAGTACTCTCTCCAATATTAGATACTAGAAAGAGCAATAGGATCTAGTAACCAAGAAAGCGTTGACAAAGTAAAGGTGGGCTAGACTGAAGAAGGATAACCAGTACAGTAACTCCTCACTTAACGTTGTAGTTATGTTCCCCAAAAATGCGACTTTAAGCGAAACAATGTTAAGCGAATCCAATTTCCCCATAAGAATTAATGTAAATAGGAGGGTTAGGTTCCAGGGAATTTTTTTTTTTTGCCAGACAAAAGACTACACACACACACAAAGTTTTAAACAAACAATTTAATACGGTACACAGCGATGATGATTGTGAAGCTTGGTTGAGGTGGAGGAGTCAGAGGGTGGGATATTTCCCAGGGAATGCCGTACTGCTAAATGATGAACTAGCAATTGGCTGAGCCCTCAAGGGGTTAACTCATTGTTAATGTAGCCTCACACTCTACAAGGCAGCAGGAATGGAGGGAGGGGAGACAGCATGGCAGACAGAGACAGACACATACACCGTGTGTCTGTGTGTAAGAGAGAGAGATGCGCATTTCCCCTTTAAGTACGCTGCCCCACTCTTAAGTACACTGCCTTGTTAAGTTAATCAGCAAGCTGAGACCACAGCTGCTGCCAGGAAGCTCCCTCCGTCCTGAGCCCTGTCGTGTGTCCCCGTGCTCTATGGAGATGGGTAAGCAGGGTGCAGGAGCAAGGACACCCTGACATTAACCCCCTTCTTCTCCCCCGCCCCAGCAAGCAGGAGGCTAGGGAAGCAGTTCCAAGGCAGAGGGCAGGAGCAGCACAGGACAGTGGGGGAGGGACAGCTGAACTGCAGGAAATTGATAGCCAGCTAGGCGGCTGCTGCACAGGGAACTTAGGGGAGCGGGGAGCTGATAGGGGGCTGCCAGTCCACCTGGTTCCAAGTCCCCACCAGCTAGCTGCATCGGGCTGCTCTTCCTGCAAGCTGTGGACAAAGCAGGCAGCTGCCAAATGACGTTATAAGGGAGCATTGCCCAACTTTAAACGAGCATGTTCCCTAATTAATCAGCAATGTAACAACGAAACAACGTTAACTGGGAAGACTTTAAGTGAGGAGTTACTGTACCAAGTTTTACTCTTCAGAAAGCACAGTCTAAACTGGAGAAAAATGCAGACAACATTTTTTCCAAACAAAGGGAAATAAGGGCATGAATCAAAGCCTACTGAAGACAACAGAAGTCTTTCCCTTGACTTTCCATTTGGATCAGATCCTAAATGAGGATACTTGTCCTAAATGAGTTTCTCCACTGAAGGAAACAGCATAGGAGGAGAGAGCAGCATGGCAGAAAATTATCATGTGCAAGTGCCAAATCTTGAATCAGTGAGAATTTTGGCATAATACAAATTTAGTGCTACAATGATTTATTCTCAGCTGAGTGCCAACTGGGAGTTGGTCTGAATTTTCGACGTTGATTGGAAATTCACCTCTATGATATTTAGACACTTGAAGAGCTGGAATAACAAAGAGGAAATCTCCCATCAGATCCTGAAATCGGTCTCGCAGCTCAGCAGGATCATCTGTGTCTCCTAAATATTCATCTGCTACCACAGACACAGATTCAGATGGAAACTTCTGTAATGAAGGATGGAAATACAACATTAACGGCAGCGTTTAGTGTGCTTCTCTCTCTCGAGTTCTTTCTCACTCGTGAATTAATAAATACTATCAATTGGTTTTTTATTAGTGCTGGAGAAGCCAAAAGTGATGTGGCGTTTTGGAACATCACTCTGGACAGTAGAGATTCAATGTATACACATTCCCTAAGGAATACAATTATAAAACAATGTAATAGCTATAAACAAGAACAGCAAAAGAACAGTCATACACAGCTTATGTTAAAGGAAACCACCTCTTTGAAGGGGCTGGAGGGGCACAAAAGATACTATTAGTTTCAGTGTGGGAACCTTCTTTTATTTACTCTCCTTGTGCCTCATATTATATGGCAGTATGGAGCCACCAATTCCTAATATTCCATCCTTTCACAGGGGATGACACCAGAGGAGCCACAGTTAGGTCTGGAATCCACTACTAAGCCACTGAATGCATAAATACGGCAAAAATGAGATCTCGCCAATAGCATCATATAGCCCCAAATGTGGAGTGGGTTTAAAATGAATATTAAAATATCACCCAAATTAACCTGCTGGTCTCTTACCAGTTGTGAAAATGTCAGCTGCAATGATGAGATTATGGTTTGTTTCTCCATCCCTTCTTCTATGCCAGAAAAGTTAAGTGCCTGTATAGTTAAAATATAGTTTTTCCTTTTTATATATTGATTAAAATGATTTGATACCATGTGTTATTTAATTCATAACTACTTACTGCTCCATTTTATACTAGCCAGTAATTATGATTCATCATTTATTAAATATAAACTTATTCTTTAAATACGAAATTATTTAAGTAACCGGAAAAATGCTTGATGGTTGAGCAGATGGGCACGAAAAGTTGTGACAGACTGAGTTACTGAAAGCCATTTGGACATACTGATACCAGAGATCAGATTTAGTACCATTCTCTGAAGACAGTTTGACAGCACATGTTAAAACATGTTCCTTTAACAAAAATTACATGTCTAAAAGTCTTCACACAAAAATTAGAGTTATTAATCAATGACAATATAAATTGTGGGATTAATCAAAACTCTCACAGAACACACGACATATTGGCAGTGTGTTCTAGGCTCCTGGCAAACTCTTTGGAAAGACCAATAAATGTACAATATGTTTAGACTCTGTGAGACAGTGGAGAAGATATTAAAACATTTGCTGGGAGATGTCAACCCCCATGCATTTAAAAGAGGGGCAAGGCTAATTCAATATGAACCTGATCCATAGTCCACTGATAGCAATGACATCAAAGAGTGCTGTCTGATTTATAGGAGTAAGAACAGAGTGTAGACAATGTAGAGCAGGGATGGCAGAGCTATATTTAAAACACTACATGTTAGGGGACTGTACTTTGATTCTGGTCCTATGGAACAATCTCATATTTTGTAACACAGGAATTAGTGTAGAAAAGTAATTAAAAATGTCTTACTGAAAGAATAAGCCAGCCATATTCATGGTTATTTACTCCTATTATATATGGGAGAGTACTGAATTCTTTGGCAGCCAGCAGCTCTTCAGGTTTCTTTGGCATAAACACACCATCTATAACTGCAAAGAAATATGCCCCTTGCTGTAAGAAAAAAATCAATATATTATTTTATAATTATTTCTTCCTCTAGATGACATTGAAAAATTCCCACTGCTGAGCCAAGCCAAGCCGAGCCAAGACTAAAATAAGTACTCACAAGTTCTAACATTTTACAATCCAACACAGAAGAGGGTTGTAAAAGCCATTAACAAAGCCCTCAAGTCTCAGGCTATTTTTATTACTTTGTCATGTGCTTCCTTGTGGAATATCTACACAATGTATGTGTGGGGTACGTTAGGTCTATTTCACCTTTTCCATGTCAGAAATATGTGGGTGCATGGAGGGAAAATATGGCAGAGTTTTGCATACTGGGAAATAAATAAGGAGGGTTACAACAAAATAAATACTAGGTGTGAGATTTTCACCATTCTGTTGTCCTAACTCTGCTCCCACTGAAGTCAATAATAAAACACTCATTTATTTCAATAGGAGCAGTTAAGTTGGACCGAGAACTTTAGAATGTTCCATTCCAGATGGCCAAGATTAATACATCAGCTGAACGTACCTTGGAAATGTGTGTTATTAGCTTGATTTGTATAAGATGTATAGTTAAGACTTCAATAATATGGAAGAAGAATTTCAAAGAACCTTTCACATGACTATAAAAAAGAGAGGATGGTAAATTCCCAGCAGTGGCATTTATACTGCTGTGTAACATACTTTAATTCTGCCTTCTAAGAAAAAAATGACTCTGGCACTGGAAACATTCCCTATGAGCTAGCTATATTTCCCAGTTTGACAGGGACAATTAATTTATTTTTCACAACAGGTGAGCAGCAGCACTGACCCGAAGAGGCAAGCCCAAGAACATGAAAATAATCCTAGGTAAGGATGTGGCCACATGCTAAAATTAGCACACATACGTCCAGTATTTCTGGAATAGAGGATATATTTTCTTGCAATTCAAACATACATTTCTGGAACAACATATCTGGAAATGACAGAATGGAATCGAAAATGTGGCCTCACCTGGTGTTTAAAATTGAGGGTGCCAAGATTTTGTTTCCATGACTAACACTTAGTGCACATAAAATCTGGTTTGCATACTGAAACTGCATTTGTGGATGCAAATCTGGTAGATGCCTAAGTCCTCAGAACACTGCATGACTCTGATCCCAGGCTGAGTTTAGCAGCAACAGCAACACTGCTAGACCGCGGAGGTTGGAAACAGAGAAGAAGCTTCTCTTCTAGAAGGCTCTTTATTGGCCTGGCCAATAGTCCAGTGGACAGTTGTTGGCTCCCCTGTAGTCTCTGAAGGCTGAAGTGAGCCTTCTGGACACTTCTGGAAGATCATAGGATTGGGGAGAGGGTCAGCCAATTGTCCCCTAAGGACTTCTGGGCCACAGAAGAGAGTTTTAAACCACTAGAACTTCCTTCTAAAGAAAACATTAATGGTCTTTTAACTTTATATTTGGGAGCTCCACTGTCACTAACATACTTCCTAGGCCAACTCTCCATTCCCCACAGCTGCTGCTGTTCCTCTTTTTCCTCTCTACCCTGAAATCCCCTTCACAGAAATGGAGGCATTCCTGAATTCACTCTATCTGCTGACAGCTGGCTCTGTGAAGTCTGCTTACTTTCCCATTCTAATGCTTGATACAGAAGCCTCGGTGTGCAGATGTACTATAAATAATCAGAAATAAAATTGCAATAAACTTTGCGTGGGTGTAGAATCAGTGGGTAGCAGAATAAACAAGTAATAAATGTCATAAAATTAAAAATGGGCTTGAATCCAAGTCCTGGATTCAGATACTCTTGGACTTTGTGGAGTTTGAAATGTGGATTCAAATTCTGCAGCTCAGTGGACCATCCTTGTATGAAACACTCAGTCCTGGTCTATGCTAGGAACTTGTGTCAGTCTAACTACATCACTCAAGGGTGTGGATTTTCCACACCCTTGAGTGACATAGTTATACTGACCTAATCCTCATTGTACACAGCACTATATCAACAGGAGGGCTTCTCCCATTGACACAGCAACCACCTCTTGGGGAGCTGGAGTACCTACACCAATGAGAGAAACTCTCCTCTTGGTGTAAGTAGCATCTTCACTGAAGGACTACAACGGCACAGTGTAAATGTAGACAAGCCCTAAATATCAGTAACTGCAGTAAGGGCCCAATCCAAAGCCTACTGAAGTCAATGGGAGTCTTTCTACTGAGCTTAATCAGCCTTCTGGCAGCTCCCAAACTAGCAACTCTCACCTACCTTCATTAGATCAGCACTCAGGGTCATTATTTCCTTATCCATTTTCTTCCTTAAACAGCGAACCATGGCAGAACTGGTTGTCTCACAGCCAGATATATTAGCGATTACCTGCAACTGTTAATAAAAAAAAAAAAAACGGATGAGAGAGGTGTGATAAAAACAAATCATCCATCAATAACCAAAACTGCTCTAGTATGATGGATTTTAAAAAGTGCCCGCCACAAACAAGTTACCAGTGTGCAGAGGCAATTAGATGCTTCCTATGTCAACTCTCCATTCCATACATCTCTTGCCTTAGATCAAATGGTGGGCGTGTCAAAATATAGATACACTCAGATTATGGTGTATGGAGATATGAACAGGAGTCTGCAGGCCCCATGTTTGAAGAATACTTTCTGTTTTCTTGGCAATATTCAAAGCAAAACAGGCTATTTATAAAAGCTTAATCTTCAACAGATATATGCTTTGATGGGTCTCAGTTGTAATTCTGGGGTAAATTCGGGTTCCTTTGATTGCAGTCCTTTTTCTGTTCCCTTTGTAATGTCTAAGGCTTCCTTGTCTCCTAACATTTTTTTTAAAAACATTAGAAAAGTCAAGTTCTAACTCCTGTTTTTCCTCCCGGATTCGGAAAGTAATAGCACAGGACACTGACTTCTCCCAGTTCAATAAATGAATCTGTTGAGTTTGGCAGACTATTGCAGCTCAGGCATTAGCCTCTTGTGATGTTACATTCAAAGTCTTCCTAGAATTGCAGAGGTCCTACAGAAAAAGAGGGAAATCAGAACCTGATATTTTCAGTCTACAATTTTTGTTGAAGTAGGAGAAACTATAAATAAAACCTTTGAGATCATCTTTCTCCATCAGGAAAGAACAGGAGGGTGCAAACATATGGTGGTTAATTTGAAACTCAGTTTTGAAAAGGTCTCAGGCACTGGAAACTTGGTATTTTAGAGAAATACGGTTAAGGTAATACTGAAAACTTACGTTAGCAATGGCTTGAGCATGGGAAATAAAGAAGCCAGGAAGCAGAGCAACTCCACTTTCTGATATGGCTTTATGGAACAAACCTTTTGACAATGGAGATAAAATCTACAAATGAAAAACAAAAATATAATTTACATGTTAAAATGCAGATTTGATACAATCCATGACTGACTTTACTTCAGAAGCTAGATTTAAAAGTGAGGCTTGATTCTAGACCAGAGATCGGCAACCTTTGGCACGCAGCCTGCCAGGGTAAGCCCCCTGGTGGGCCGGGCCGGTTTGTTTACTTGCCATGTCCGCGGCTCCCACTGGCCGCAGTTTGCCACTCCAGCTACCAATGGGGGCTGTAGGAAGCGGCAGCCAACACATCCCTCAGCCCGTACCGCTTCCCGCAGCCCCCATTGGCCTGGGACGACGAACCGCGGACAGTGGGAGCTGTGATCAGCCAAACCTGCAGACACAGCAGATAAACAAACTGGCCCGGCCCGCCAGGGGGCTTACCCTGGCAGGCCGCGTGCCAAAGGTTGCTGATCCCTGGTCTAGACTTACTTAGTGTTCTTAATACAAAGGTATTTATTGGAAACTTACATGTGCTCCAACACTGAATGCTCCTGCAGACTCTCCAAATATAGTAACAGACTCTGGATCTCCTCCAAAAAACTCAATATTTTCCTGAACCCACTGCAGAGCTGCCACTTGATCCAATAAGCCCCAGTTTCCACGAGCATGTTCATCACCAGTACTGAAATCAGAAGTGTATATAGGGTATCAGTCGTATACCACTAATACCTAAGGAATTAGCTACCTAAGGAATAATACCACCGGCTATTTATTCCTTATTGTCTGGCATACAATACTGGCTCTACAGAACAAAAACCATGTGGATACTTTATTCTTACACCAGCTTATTCAAAGTCTATTTCTGAGCCCCAACGTATGGCTTTGAGTACTACAGGCCACTGCTGATCGTTGCTTGACTTTCAAAGGAATAGTTTTGCACTATACATGTGAACTCCAGACAACATAATATTACAGACAGAGCATTTAGCAACAGGCACATATCAAGTTACATTATAGGTTTAGGCTGACCAGATTAGCTTTCTGTATTTTATAATTTTTTGTTTGACTGTGAATTTTTAACTGCTGTCAGGGCATCCAGAGTAGAACGGGATAGGTGCTTTTTGTCATTAAAAATGAAAGGTAATAATAAAATTAATTACTTGGAAAAAAGATGCTGTAATTGTGCAGTAAGAAAGGTTCACTCATCATGAGCGTACTTCCTATCATGGTGGGTGGGCGTGTGTGTGTGTGTTAGTTAACAGAGTATCTGGTTTGAGCAGATTCATAGTAACAAAACATGTCTCACCTAAAGAATCCAATGACACCTAATCTATACTGGACAGTTACTACCACCACATTTTCATAGGCGGATAATGCCGACCCATCATATATCGAGGCCCCACCTATCACGAAAGCTCCTCCATGGATCCACACCATAACCTGAAAAAAGCAGGATCAGTTACAACTATTTGTAATGATGAACTTGCTAATTTTGTAATAAATGACAAAAACAAATCAAAGGGTTGCAGGTTGCAATTTATATAAACAGGATTATTATTTTTAAAGCAACAGTTTAGTTTTAGATAGTGCTCAACAAAGAGAAAACAAACTCTTGTTTATGTACAACATTTACTCTGTTAGAAGTGTGACAAGTGACCCATGCTAAGGACCAATACATTTTTATTTACTTTTGTCACCAAGACCATGATAATGCATTTTAAATATCCTTTTTACCCAGTGTCATTCACTTATATTTATGTACAGTGCTTTGACATTTCAAAGGGTATCAGAGGCTATTTACGCTAACCAAGTTATCTTATTGAAATAATGTTCAGCATTTTCTTTTGTTCGATTGTTTGCTATAATTCATATATGGCTCTTCACTTTGTATTTCTAACAAAGGTGCTCCTGCCCTGTGACTCAGCAGAACTAGGATGATTATTTTTTATTATTTTACAGCACCCAAGGGAGTGATGAACATCTTGCAATATAGATAAGAAGTCATGATCCCTACTCTGAAAAGCTAATTTCGGATCTGACACAATGAAAAGGGGTAAGAGAACAGTAGTGAGAAGCTGAGAGAGGAAGGACAGGTTAACGTTAGTAGGTTAACATTAGCAGATTAAACCATTAAGTAGGTTTGCTTACAGGTAACTTAGCCTTCTTGTTGGAATGGGCAGGAGTGTAAACATTCAGATATAAACAATCTTCAGAAACTGTTAAGGGAGGTAATTCAGTTTTTAACATTCTTTCTATTGTCTTTATCCACTCCATGACTTGTAGGCACCTTTAATGATATAATGAAAATGCCAGTGTTCAGTAAAATGATAGTAACACATGATCATAATATTAGTTTTATCTGATACTAGATTTCTGACAACAGCATTTCTAAAGCTGAACACAATTACAGAGTGATCCAAAAATTCACAACACCACATTAATCTTGAAATAAGGAAACCAGCTTTAAGTAAGAATTGCAATTGATCTGAGTTACAACAGAAAACCCCAGTCACCTATATCCTCCTGGCATTATAATCATGTAGATTTTCCTCTTACTTTGAACACGTATTATTTTTGTTTCTGCGCAACTCATGAAAGTCAAGATATAACCAAAAGAGCTCTTAAAGCTTCAGGTTGCCTTATCAAAGTTCAACTCAGTGGATCAGTGGGGGAATCATTTTGCTTGGAAATGTGTGAAACAATAACTAAGCTATCAACTTATTTTCAAAAATACTACAAAAGGCATTATTTGGAAATATTCAGTATACAAGGGGCTGCCTGCTCATTTACAGCTCCTTCCAGCCAATATGCTGGAGATGTTGGATAATGAAGTCAACAGCACAGTTGTTTATAAACTCCTACTGAGAATAGGTTTCAGAGTAGCAGCCGTGTTAGTCTGTATTCGCAAAAAGAAAAGGAGTACTTGTGGCACCTTAGAGACTAACAAATTTATTTGAGCATAAGCTTTCGTGAGCTACAGCTCACTTCATTGAATGCATCCGATGAAGTGAGCTGTAGCTCGCAAAAGCTTATGCTCAAATAAATTTGTTAGTCTCTAAGGTGCCACAAGTACTCCTTTTCTTTCTACTGAGAGTAGTCTCCCTGACCTCAGTTGAGTCTGCATAGCAGGAGGAAGAGAAAGTGGGAGAGAACATCACTGATGAACAGTGAAAATTATTTATTGCAATGGCCATAAAATTTAAATTACAGTTAAAAATCAATCACATATAAAATCTTTTCCAGACAGCTTGACCCCACTTAAACTGACCTAGCAGGACTTACATTCCAGATTTATTTACTGAGGGCAACATTAACTAGGTTGGCAGAGTATCCAAAATTTAAATGTAGACTCTTATTCTCATTTTATTTTTCTAAAATAAAGCAACGGTTTTCACAGCTCACACTCAAATGGATCTCTAACGATATATTAGTGTTGTGGTGTTACTGGGCTATTTTAGTAAAGGACAAGGACACCATTCAATTCACAAGAGAAACGACTGGAGGATTTTAGGAATTTCACATTTTCCCTTTGGGACCCACCATTATCATGCAAACACATTCAATAAAGCCGAACTCCTTTCCTAGGATACATAATGTTACATACTCTCATTAACCAAAAAAAGGCATACATGATGCAATTCAGATTCATTTACTAAACAGGGTAGATAGGCAAAGCCTAACACAATCGGATCTTACATTGGTGGGTAGGAAATTGCAGCTCTCAGACCTTTCCATGGCTCTGCTTGTTGTGGTGGGGAAAATCTCAGGGATCCAAGAGGTGGTTTTGCAAAAGGAATTCCAAGAAAAACATTCACGAGCCTGTCTGCTCCTTTCACGCTGGTCTGTTTTCCTTGAAGTCGCCCATATTTGGTAGTCACTTCTGGTTGTGCACCTTTATGCCCTGTGCAACATATTGATAAGACATTAGCACATTCTCAATGAGGCAGATTTCCCAGGGCTTCAAGTGCTGCTCAGAAAATCTTCCACTTTTTTTCCAGGAAAACCTGCCTTACAGTGAAATTCTTGTAAGTATTGTAAGAAGTTGTACTTGTAAGAAATACCAAGAAGCTCAATCTATTTACATTATCCAAGAAAAGGTTATGAGATGACTTAATCATAGCCTATAAGTACCTACATGGGGAGAAGATTTGAGATAGTAGAGGGCTCTTTAACCTAGCCGACAAAGGCATGACAAGATCCAATGACTGAAAGCTGAATCGAGACTAGATAACCCCAGACTAGAAATAAGTTGTAAATTTTCAACAATATAGTAATTAATCACTGGAACAACTTATCAAGTCATATGATGGACTCTCCATTATTTTATGTCTTTAAATCAATATTGGATGTCTTTAAAAATATATGTTCTAGCTCAACCACAAGATATGGGCTTGATGCAGGAATTACTGGGGGAAATTTAATGGCCTGTGTTATGCAAGAGGTCAGACAAGATGATCCCAATGGTCCCTTCTGGCCTTACAATTTATTAATCTTTCTTCGATGCTTTTAGCATAGTCCTTTTATTTGTTTGCTATCATACATCAAAGTAAAAGTACTGTTAAAATAATTACTTCTTCCCTTACAGTATTTCACTATAAGAATTTTATCGTATTTCCAATTCCGAAGCAGAAATATGCTCTGATAGTGAGAGTTGGGGTGTAATTAGGAATAGGCTGCAAGTTTTTAAAAAACAACAAAAACGATGGGTTATCTGATCCTATATGGTTGAAAAGTGGCCAATCACCACTTTGATTACTTAGCATACTCCCCTGCATGACCTTTCATCTATCTCACTGTTTTGTCTCTTGTAGAACGTGAACTCAGACACTGTTCGGGTGACGCTGGTAACAAATAATTATCTTAATAAGTAAGAGGGATTTATTCCCTTCAGTTGACCCAACATTGTGCCTAAGAAAACAAATGGTTCCTTCCATTGTGTTCCCTCAGCAGGTCAACTATTGTCCCGATCCAGCAAGGGTTACCTTGCAGGATAAGGATACATGAGGTACCTTGCAGGATAAGGATACATGAGGCCAGATTCAGGAATCACACAACAGCAGGTTATATGATCATGCAGAGCACTAACTCTCAGGCCTAAGGGTTGGCCCAAACTAGGTATTTTACTGATCATTTTTTAAAGCTGCTTTACAGTTGAAAAGGGGAAAAAATGTCTGCGCTAGATATTTTAGGAATACCTTCAAATATGTTATTGACCTCTTACTTTAGTCACTGTTACTGACTGCTTTGGCTTGAAGGATTTCTTTCTTTTGGGTGTTAATCTTTCTCTGCTTCATATGTACTTCACAGAGAAGATGTAGCCTGAACTTTTCAAAGCATCTAAACCATTTGGATGTCTAATTCCTATTAATTTTTAATAGGTTTTGGTCAAAGCCCTCTACACCAACATTCCACACAAAGATGGACTACAAGCCGTCAGGAACAGTATCCCCGAGAATGTCACGGCAAACCCGGTGGCTGAACTTTGTCCTCACCCACAACTATTTCATATTTGGGGACAACGTATACCTTCAAATCAGCGGCACTGCTATGGGTACCGCATGGTCCCACAGTATGCCAACATTTTTTATGGCTCACTTAGAACAACGCTTCCTCAGCTTTCGTCCCCTAATGCCCCTACTCTACTTGTGCTACATTGATGACATCTTCATCATCTGGACCCATGGAAAAGAAGCCCTGGAGGAATTCCACCATGATTTCAACGATTTCCATCCCACCATCAACCTCAGCCTTGACCAGTCCACACGAGAGATCCACTTCCTGGACACTACGGTGCTAATAAGCGATGGTCACATAAACAACACCCTATACCGGAAACCTACTGACCGCTATTCCTACCTACATGCCTCCAGCTTTCACCCAGATCACACCACACGATCCATTGTCTACAGCCAAGCTCTACGATACAACCGCATTTTCTCCAACCCCTCAGACAGAGACAAACACCTACAAGATCTCTATCAAGCATTCTTACAACTACACTACCCACCTGCTGAAGTGAAGAAACAGATTGACAGAGCCAGAAGAGTACCCAGAAGTCACCTACTACAGGACAGGCCCAACGAAGAAAATAACAGAACGCCACTAGCCATCACCTTCAGCCCCCAATTAAAACTTCACCAACACATCATCAAGGATCTACAACCTATCCTGAAGGACGACTCATCACTCTCACAGATCTTGGGAGACAGGCCAGTCCTTGCTTACAGACAGCTCCCCAACCTGAAGCAAATACTCACCAGCAATCACACAACACAACAGAACCACTAACCCAGGAACCTATCCTTGCAACAAAGCCCATTGCCAATTGTGTCCACATATCTATTCAGCGGACACCATCATAGGGCCTAATCACATCAGCCACACTGTCAGAGGCTCATTCACCTGCACATCTACCAATGTGATATATGCCATCATGTGCCAGCAATGCCCCTCTGCCATGTACATTGGTCAAACTGGACAGTCTCTACGTAAAAGAATAAATGGACACAAATCAGACGTCAAGAATTATAACATTCAAAAACCAGTCGGAGAACACTTCAATCTCTCTGGTCCCTCGATTAGAGACCTAAAAGTGACAGTTCTTCAACAAAAAAACTTCAAAAACAGACCCCAACGAGAGACTACTGAATTGGAATTAATTTGCAAACTGGATACAATTAACTTAGGCTTGAATAGAGACTGGGAATGGATGGGTCATTACACAAAGTAAAACTATTTCCCCATGTTTATTTCCCCCCCACCCACCCTACTCCTGCTGGTATTAGCTCATCTTAAGTGATCATTCTCCTCACAGTGTGTATGGTGACACCCATTGTTTCATGTTCTTCGTGTATATAAATCTCCCCACTGTATTTTCCACTGAATGCATTCGATGAAGTGAGCTGTAACTCACGAAGGCTTATGCTCAAATAAATTGGTTAGTCTCTAAGGTGCCACAAGTACTCCTTTTCTTTTTGTGAATACAGACTAACATGGCTGCTACTCTGAAACAAATTCCTCGGGCAACTTTGAAAATCTCACCCATAATTTATTGTTTGATTTTCTTTGGTCTTTGCACACATACAAGGTAATGATAGTCTGCAGAATTCTAGATGGCATGGACATCTTTTAATAACTTGTGTTCAAAGAGTCTCTTCTTTACAAAAAGTGGAGTACATAATACATTCAGGAAAAGGCTTATAAAAAGCATTACTCAACTTGGTCTTTCTGTAAAGACGTGTACACCTTTAAAACTAAAACAAATAAAAATGGCAGCTACATTTTTATTAACTGGAAAAAAATACAAACTGGTATCTTCAAACTTAGGTCCAATCCTGAACTAATCCATATGGGTATTTGTGAAGAACCTCATTTATTTCAATGGGTTTCTACACAGGAGTAAGAGTCTTCTCTGTGCACATGCCCTTGACTGTCAGCATTTTCAGGCAAGGAATATGTCACTTTCTATGTTTTTAAAGTACAATGTACATTTGCTACACTACATACATGATTTGCAACAAAAAGGAAGTAGTAGAAGTGTTTACTAACTTCTCACTATAGTAAAGAACTTCACATTATTATTAATACTTAAAGATACTACTATCATTTTCATAATAAAAATACTCCATAAACTTTTTGCAGTGAGGTGCAGTTTCTTAGGGTTTAACTTATTAAATGTATGTAGTATGGATATTTTTCATTTCTTCCTCTTCTTTCTCCCATTCTGACTTTTCCTTAGACTTCAGGTGGTTATAGGTCAGCTCTGACCAGCAGAAGACAGTGTGCTATTTACCACAATTTATCACGTAGATAAGCATTTCCTTATGTATCCAACTTTTCAACTAAAGTCTTTGAGCCTGATCATGAGAGATGCTGACTGCCCGCAACTAAGTCCATGGGAAGCAAAGGCATAGGCATTCAGTACTTCTGAGAGGTGTTGGTACTCCATAGGACCTGGTCCTTTGACTGAAATATAAAAGTTAATTAGGCAGAACGCTGAACTCAGTATCGAATCTACTGTGGCAACATAATCATTTTTTAAACAATAAGAATCTGTCTATTCTCACAGTTTTACCATGTTGGTTTGTACTTTTTGTATGACTGACTGGGCTCACTATAACCAGAATTACGATTGGATGAATTATGGGGGCTGTACTTTAGTATTAGGCAACAGCAGCATAATGCATGACTTTTCCCACAAATCTCTTGAGGAGGCAAGTATTAGCTCCACTCAGAGTTACTAGCATCTATATGAACCACCAGAAGGCAAAAAAGACTTCATTCAACATAATTTTCCTCTTCCTGATGAATATGTAATGACTTTTATAAAAAAGGATAAGGTAAAATAGGCAATGTTTGTTATTTACTGAACACAAGAAATCAATATGTGACCATTAAACAAAGACGACATGCCTACGCTGCAGGCTTAACCCATGCTCTTACCCCCCATCATCCTCACACAAAACCCTTATGCATGTGCATGTGTTTTGAACCTATACCTTTTTGCCCATCTGGGGGTTCAGGTTAGAGCACAGGGTCCTCTTTAAGGTGGGCTCTGACCAGCCCACTTTGCAATTAAGATGTAGCCCAGGTCACAGCTCAGGTTTTGTCAGCCCTCTAAGCCTGTAGTTTCTGGCCCTCCTACCTACTCACTTCCTACTTGCCTCCTATGTGCCTGAAGCTACCTGCCAGTTTATACCCACCAGGCCAGCATTTAATTCTTCATTCCATGCACCCATGCTCCATTTCTGCAGTATTCAGTTCACCTCATCCAAACAGCCCTAGAAGATGCCAAGCAAGCACGCTGCTAGCTAGCCAAAGGATCACACCAGGGTTCTGATTAACCTCTGGTGTGACTACAGCAAAGAACATGACTTTGGGAGAAGCATCCAAAATCTGCACTTGTATGATACATATCTCTAAGAGGTGAGGATCAAGCTGACAGTTGTTCAGAGGAGGGAATGAATTAAAAACCTAAAAAGCATCTACCACAAGGCAAAGGATGGCAATTGCAAGTCTAGCAAGTGCCAAGCTAAACATAAAATCTGTTCCCATGGCTAGCGGTTACTCTCCCCTAAAGGACATGAGAACCATTATATAGGTGTGCAGCAAAGGGATTAAACTAGATTTTGTGCAACATGTGTGCACAGGAGTGATTAAATTGAATTGAAATGAAAGGCAGAGAAAGAAGGTGACCTGGTTATGTGAAACCTGTGACAAAGGTATGAAAGGAGTTGAGGCATGGGGTGTCAGTGACCCGGCCCTTGGGAGAGGCTAGGCCCCAGCCCCTCCTCTTGTGTCCAAGGCCACCCCTTTCTATCTCCCTTCCCCGCAGGAGCCCAGAGCACACTGCAGCCCCTGGCCCCAAGGCCAGGTGATGAAGCCCCAGCCCTGGATGGCACCCGCAGCCCCAGTGTGCCCTGTGGCCCAGCCCCAGAGCGCTAGGCAGCGCAGATGCAGAGCCCCCATCCCTGGTACACTGGGCAGCATGGCTCCAACCTCAGCCGCCCTGCCTCCCTGAAGGAGGCAGGCCAGCCAGCTAGCTAGCCTGGGCCACCAGGGCTGGGAACAACAGGAGGGGGCCTGGCCTTGGGGTGGAGTGTGGGCAGGGCCACACTAGGCTGTTTTCAGAGGAACAGCCGTGTTAGTCTGTATTCGCAAAAAGAAAAGGAGTACTTGTGGCACCTTAGAGACTAACCAATTTATTTGAGCATGAGCTTTCACGAAAGCTCATGCTCAAATAAATTGGTTAGTCTCTAAGGTGCCACAAGTACTCCTTTTCTTTTTACTAGGCTGTTTGGGTAAGCACAGCCTACCTCTGCCTATGGATATCTGCCGCCCTCGAAAATTTGGAGCACCCCTGGGTCTTAGTGTCCTCCCTCCCGCCTCTTCCTATCCCAGTTCTGACCCATCCTGCAGGCTCCCATCACAGTTGGCTGCTGCAGCCTGTTGACTCTTCCTCCAGAGGGGATCTAGTACTTAAAAGTGAAAAAACCTGCCAGACCTATTAGCACAACATTGAAACTGTTAAAGAGCCATTCAAGTGGTAATGAAGCCATTTAACAGGCATTTGCCAACCTCCAGGCATATACTGTTAATTTCTGAATTTACTGACAAAAACAGTTGTACATTACTGTAATATTTACTCAGAACATGTAGTCTACAGGACCTTAGTTTAAAATTTGCTTTAAAAATATTTCATTAGTGTGTTGCTGAAGATTATAAAATCACATCTGAAAAAAATCCTTGCATAAATTTTTAGATGCACACTCTGAGTATTCACCTTTAGCCTGAAATGCTTGGATCTTCAAACATATAGTTTTTTAAATAAATCCTTCAAAAGACCACCCTTATCTAAAATATACATGCGAGTCCGGGCTGCCGTCAGGCATAGGGGCACCAGTGTAAAAATACTGCATAGGGCTCCATAAATCCTAAGGACGGCCCTGCTGCCGCCCATGAGTTGAGGGCTTGATTTATATCATAACGTCCTTCACTTTGAGATAAAAATACTATTTCATTGTAAAATCAATGTATAGCAATAAAGAAAAGTCTTGCAAGTAACAACCAATTTCATTTACATATTTTCAGAAACAAAGAGTCCACAGCAACAGTTTCTCAAAATTTTTTGTGTGTGTGCAAAATTCCCATTGACTTCAGTATAGCCAGGACTTCACCCCAGTGTCTATTTTTCGCTCCTGCCCTAACAATTATAAAATGCTTCTAATAATTCACTCGAGTTTTGCCTACCAGTTTGGCTGTAACTAGGCACTTTGTCTTTTTGTACTCCCAGAGCAGAGGTTCACTATGTCTATGAGATAATAAATTTCATAGCACCGAATAAAATTCTACCACTTTCATTTTACAACTAACAAAAAACAAACAAAAAAAACCAGAGGAAAGCCTAGATACTAAAAATTACACTTCAACAAAATACATTCACCCTTGGCCTCTGAGTGAGGCACAGCCTCACTGTAAACAGACAATTGTGAAGGTAACACCTCTTAGTTTTGTGCAGTGTTATTATGTCGGATCATATTAAAGAAGTTCCGTATTAAAATCACAAATGAGTTTGATTCCCCATAGTTTAAATTCCAGGGTATTAAGAGGTCTCTTGGTTTTTGGTACTGTTTCTCTCCCTCTGTGTGTGAAACTTGCAAGCTGCTAATTGCGTTAGTACATTCTAAGACAGAGTCTGTTCTCAAAGCAATTCACACAGAGAGAGCTCAAAGCAATACTCTGTAACAACAGAAACAGCACCCAGAGACTCCCTGCCCTTTTGTTGTATTAACAATTGTGATTAAAATAGAGATAGAGGATGTTTGTGGATGGATGCTTGGTATGGATAATAACTGAATGATCAGGGAGGTGCCAGCCTAAGAATCCAGTGTCAAGGCGTCAAGTGGAAATAACCAGAGAACCACCAGAGGGCAGACTGGAATCCACCCAACAGCCTCAAGAATGGGAGAACCAAAGAACAAGATAACATCTGGCAGCACAGCGCCATCAGGAATGTGCTATCTGCTGATTGATTCAGCAACAGCATGATGAACCAATTCCCATAGACTGGCATAGGAAGAAATTCCTATAAAAATGGACTCTATGAAGTGAGAACTTTGGGGTCTGATTCTGCAAACCAACTTCCAGGAGTGTCAGATGAGCATCTGACAAGGCCCTACTCCCTCCTCATGTCCAGGCCACCTGGCCAGTGGCTTGGCATGAGCAACTCTAAGGCTGGTAACTATGATAGCAACCTTGCAGAACCTCTGTGTGTGTGTTTGTAGGAATGAATGTGTGAATAAATATGAGATTGAATGGAATGTTATAGCTATAATTAACTGCTTACTATGATTCTTTCTGTATTCACAGTAAATGTGGTATTTTGCCTTTTTCCCTTTAATAAGATCCTGCTGGTTTTTGATTTATTGGTATAACAGCTGGAGCCATGTCATCCCCAGGATATTAGAGACAAGGTGGAGAGGTAAAGTCTTTTATTGGACCAGCTGAAACATGCAGTGCTCGGGGGGGCTGGGGGAGGGGTGTTTCACACTCCTGAGTAAGAAAGTTGCAGCACTGTAAAGTGCCAGTGCAGACAAGCCCTTAGACTGTCACAACTAAATACAAGAGCCAAGACAGTTTGGCATACATAGTTAGCACATATTCTGAGTCATTGGTTTTCCAACTGCAGATTGTGACCCAGTAGTGGGTCACAGAATGTAAAGCACTGGATCGTGGCAGCTCTGGTCAGCACTGCCGACCGGGCCATTAAAAGTCCCGTTGGTGGTGCTGCCCGGCTAAGGCAGGCTAGTTCCTACCTGTTCTGACACTGTGCTGTGCCCTGGAAGCAGCCAGCATCAGGTCCGGCTCCTAGGCGGGGTGGGGGGGCCCACAGGGCTCCATGCGTTGCCCCTGCCCAAGCACCGGCTCCACACTCCCATTGGCCGCTTTCTGTGACACTTTTTTTTTGGGGGGGGGGGAAGAGGAAGATTAGTTGTATATATAAGACAAAGCCCCTAATATGAATCAGACTGAAAATGTTAAAAATATCTTAAGGGTCCCGTGCTTATATCCCTTCCTGACTTTTCCCATCAGTAAAGGAGGTTATATTTACCTTCAGTTGCAATCACAAGGAACCATGCAGTACAAATCAGAGATCTGAGCAGCAAACTCCTGACAGCAGATTGCATTTTCACGTCTACACTAACCAACTGCTCGTTCTCTTCTAATTGCCAAAATGCAGGCACAAAGGTCACATGGCCAGAAGAGTGACTAAGGGCTTGTTACTAAACTCTAGATCGAAACAGATATGAGGTAAAAGGCCCTGGAGATATGTGTTAGAAAGGAATTAATTTCCACCCCACCCCTAAGTGAATAAAAAAGCCAGTTCTGGAGACAGGTTGAACAAGAGCTACCAAGACCAACCCTGATCACTTATCTACAACAAACCCCACTACAAGGAATTCTCCAATTCATCATTCTTTCCCTGACCACTGGTATGTCTGGCACTTTGATAAACAGGTCATTGGCCCCAGTGAGTTTGCAACCTAAAAATCTGCATTTTGGGGTTGCTCAGCCTGCTGGCAAACACAAGCACTTTGAAGGGACGTGGGATTGGGCTGAGTTATTGTTTTGCCACAGTCACAGGAAGGTGCCGGGGGAGCTTGAGAGCGTCTCCTGTTGTAATTCGGTGGCAGAACGAGTGGTTTTCACACGTGTGTTGTTCGGATGCCCTTTATGGGCTCTTGTTTGCATGCTCCCCCGATCCCAGGCACCTCACTGGACGTGACTCGCTTCACTGTTGGTGCCCGTGCGTGCGGGGACGATGCGATGCTGACTGTCTGGGCTGGAGGCTGCAGCGGGACAGGGGACAGGGCAGCCCCAGCCCCGAGCGGGCCCTGACCCAGAGCATCCCCCGCGGCCTGTCCTCCGAGAGCGGGACCGCGCGGACTCTACCGGCCCCGCCTCTCCGTTCCCGTTCCCGGCCCTCTGCTGAGGAGACTCACCTCCCTCCTCCCAGCAGGGGCCGCGAGAGCGCAGACGCGCCTCTCCGCTGCCCGGAAGTGTGCGCGCTACAAATCCGTCCCCTTCCGTTACCGGAAGTGTGTCCGAGCGAGCGAGCAATCTCGGCCCCTCCCGTCAGTCTGTGCACCAGAGAACATCTTCCCCCTCCCTAGCGCTGGAAGTGGACGAGTGACCGGGTAACCCACCCATCACCCCCATCTCTCGGAAGCGAGCGCGGCATTCCGCCTGCCCCTGGGTGCCGGTGCTGGCGGCCGGGGACGATGGTGGGGCCCGGGCCCGGGGGGGGGAGCCCCCTGGAGAACGCGAACCCCCTGATTTATCGGCGCTCGGGGGAGCGGCCCGTCACGGCGCGCGAAGAGGACGATGAGCTGCCCGACTCCATCGACGACCGGGAGATCTTCGATATCCTGCGCTAGGGGAGGCCGGGGGCGGCGGGGGGAGAGTTTTCTTCACGCTCCATCATTTCGCCTCCTGCTCCCCTGGGCTGGGGCAGCCCCTGCCCGCCAGCTGCAGATTTCTTCCCTGTGTGGGAAAACGTGGGATGTATTTTCTCTGGTTTGACTGCGCTGGTAACAGCTGCGGTGCAAGTCCCTGGTAAGCGCCTCGGCCCGCGCTTAACAGGGCCGGGCTCCGTTCCTGACAGGGCCGGTGCCGTACGAAGACATTCGTGGACGTCTGTGTGTTCTGCGTGGTTCTTACTCCGCCCTCAGCCCCCCAGTCTCTGAGCACCTTCCAGTAGTGCCCTGTGACGTGACTGTCAGATCAGCGCCCTTCTTCCTCATGCCCTCGCCAGGGGAAAGCATTGTGCGTGTAGTGGCTTGGTAGGGTGGGGGTGTTTCTTTGCGTAGGTCAGTCCTACAGAACATTGTAAAGCTCCAGGCCCTTCTGTGGCACTACTTAAGGGCTCTGAATCCCAAACAGCTGGATGAGCTTCCCCCCTCCCCCCCATAAAGCAAACTCTGAAAGCTACGCTAGTATAAAAGTAAATTAAACAGTTAATCTAATACTTTATTGTAGCTTTGCAGAAAGTTGTAGGTCTCTTCTCACTTGCTCCTTGAATAACAAAGGGATATCTATGTTATAGGTAGAAAAGAGAGAAACCTAAAGAGTGTGTGTGTGTGGAGGGGGGTCATCACCCATTCACCTGATGTCCCTTTCCATTGATACTGGGTGCCACTGTTATTTCTGTTTACTGCTTTATTTTCCTTTACATTATACATCTTATTCGTTCAATTAATGACCCAGAACATCCCCTTACTTTGGAAGAGCTGAATGTTGTTGAACAAGTTAGAGTTAACGTAAGTTACTTTAGTAACAAAATTATAATAGAGAGGACTTAGCAAGCATTGGTATACTAACCACATTTTGTCTCAGTACTGGCATGTTTGAAAGCAAAACGCATAATTGTCTCAGGAAACATACATAGGAAATGCAACGTAGAGATGTTTTAAAACTGGAGTAAAGAACTTCCAGTAAATATCTCATTCCTGCAAGGGTGGGGTGCTGGCAATGACTCAAATAGGCAAGGAAAAGTTGGGGCTTCAGTTTTCAACAAAGTTAGATAACATCAATCTCTTAAGAAATACAATTATTATTTATACAAATTAAATGTTATTAAATTGCCATGGAGCATTTATTGGATTATGTTCTGCTTATAACATTTTGGTAAAATGATTATATGATCTATATCTATTTTAGCAGTTATGTATATTGGGACAGATTCTGTCCTCAGTTATGTTTGTTACCCCTGACTGTGGCCAGATTGCACAGGTGTTAAAGAACAGCATTTGGTCCATTGTCTACTTAGTTTATCACACATTTCCGGTATGGAAAGCAAATATTTAGAGCTGTCATGGTAAAAAACTGCATTTGACAATAGTGATACCGTAGATAAAATAACAAGCAGGGAAGTAGGAGGAGTTAAGGACTATTAATTAAGTTGAAGTTCAACTAAAATGGCTAGTATTGACTTGTGGTCAGATCAGTGAGTTTTGTATATGGAAAATGTTTGTTTTTCAACAGGTGAGTGATGCTGAAAGCACAGTAGTGGTGGAGTTTACTCCCACAATTCCTCACTGCAGCATGGCAACATTAATTGGCCTATCAATAAAAGTAAAGTTGATCAGATCACTACCTGAAAGGTTTAAGGTGAGTAATAAAATCAGCCCCAAAGAAGAAGAGGGAAAGTGTTTTAAAGAGAAAAACCTAAAGTGAAAAATAACTACCACTTCTCTTTATCTCCTCCTGCTCTGGGACAAGGACATGCTCCATGAAACCAAAAAAACCCCAAACCCCAATAAATTTGAAACTAGCACAGAATTAGTAATCACTGCAGGCTCAAGGCAAATGGTAACTTGGATTTGTGTGAGAAATAACACTTACTACTTCAAAATTAACTGATGCCCTGTGGAAGAGATTCTCATTTTTACATATGGGGAACCTGACACTACAGAAAAGTTAAATGCTTTGTTCCAGTCCATAAGGGAAGTCTGTGGCAAAAGTAGGATTAGAATTCAGTAGTTTCTGACTTATAGTTCTGGGCTCAGACCATTAAACTACGCATCTGTCCCAAAGAAAACTGATTCAGATAATAAAAAAAAAAAAAGTGACTGGTCCAAGTAAAAATTCCTTTGTGTAGAAATGTTTTCATGTTTAATTATGAAAGTGTTTATCTCCAAAATTCCAGAGTTTTGTTGGTTTGTCATAACGTTAAATCACCTTTCAGGGATAGTGTTAACATGTTCTTTTAAAAAATTGATTAATATTGAAAAAACCCAGTCTGATAAAACATCCTTCAAATAGTATGTCCAGAATTTTGATAAACGCATTAAAAAAATCTTAAGAATTTTTTTCTGCTGTCCTGTTAAATGTCTATAATCTTTTCAGGAAGGGAGAAACTGACCATAAGAGTGGGAGGGGGAAAGGAGAGGGGACTCTGAGCTGTCAAATGCACAAAGTAAACAGTTTTTTTTAATTAAAACAATGAGGAGTCCTTGTGGCACCTTTGAGACTAACAAATTTATTTGGGCATAAGCTTTCGTGGGCTAGAACCCACTTCATCAGATGTATGGAGTGAAAATACAGGAGTAGGTAGAAATACATGAAAGGATTGGCGTTTACTCAGCAACTTCAGTATTGACCAAGGTGTTGCTTGTAACTATGGGAGGTCCAGACTTTTCAGGCATGAGTTTGAAGCTGATAAAGACCCTTTACATTTATTTTTTGTGGGAGAATGCTACATTCTGCTTTCTGAACTGCTGAATAAATTTTCCTTCTATCTTTATAGCTTTTGTCCAACAACTTCACAAAGACTTCAAGAGTGAAGTCAAAGTAAATACTGACCTATTGTAGTGTAACAAGTTTTATAAATAACTATTACAAATAGAGTATTTTATTTTTTAGATGGATGTTCACATAACACCAGGGACCCATGCCTCTGAGCATGCAGGTGAGCTTTTATTAAGTCCAAGGGGTGCTAATAATTATAATATAATTATCTAATAAATATTAGAATTGAGAGATGGAATAGATCTGTCATCAAGTTCACTGACCTGTAAGTGCAGGATAGAGAAGGAATTGGAAGTCAGAGGAGACTTTAAACTCTTAGTTCCGCACCCTTTACAGCAAAGTTACCCTTACCAAAATCTACCACTGACTCCAACAACAATGGATAAGCATGGTAGCTGAATAAGTGCTAAAATACTGAGATAATATGTGTAGGCCCTGATTCCACAACTTGTTCCAGGCCGATGAACCCCTGCGTTCACACGGAGCTCCAATAAAATATTAAGGACTCTACGTCCAGCCATCTGGAAAAAGTTGCAGTACTGTGCATTAAATCATTAATTTACACTGTACAGTGCAATTCTGCGGCACATTAGAATTAAGAAAAACATTGGGCTATGTCTGCCATTACAACAGTGTGGGAGGTAAACAATTTGTATGTAAAATGTTATGCATCACTATAGAAATGTGTACTGACCGATCTATTGTGGGTTTCTTTTCACACAGTTAATAAACAACTTGCTGACAAAGAACGAGTAGCAGCTGCTTTGGAGAATTCTCATTTGCTGGAAGTGGTGAACCAGTGTTTGTCTGCTCGATCATAATTGCCTGATGAAGAAATCTTTGTTTTTCTGGTGTGTTAAGATAATTTTATACATAAACGGGATTTCTGATATGTAGTTGAATATGTTTCTGTGGGTAAAATAAAGCTACTAAAATGTATAATTTTTTTTAAA